AATCGTTACTGTAATTTAAATATCAATAAATACCTAATAATTTAAAAATCTCCATAAATTTATATTTAAATTAATATTATTTGAAAAAAATATGTAAAAAAAAAACTTACTTGGAAAAACAGTTGTACCGTACGATTCAAACCCCAAGCATCTCATTGTTGGGCACATTTCATACTGCTAAGCTATTGTGTCGTTATCGAAATGAAGATATAACCCCTGTGGCAGAATCGTGGTGACATAGCGACATTGTTTCAGAGTTACTGAGTTCTTGCAGAAAGATTTTTCCTTTTGGGAAGTAAAAAACTTTGGTTTTCTTTTCTATAGAAATTTTCGAAAGATTTTTTTCTTTTCTTCAGAATTATATTCAAAAGATGCTTTTGTAGCGCATCGGAATGGGAAAAAAAATGCTTGTGATACTTCTGTTCTTATTTGAGAATAATAAAAAATAAAGAGTAGTGAAGTAAAAAGTTTTATTTTTCTTTTCGGCAGAAATTTTCGTTCTATTGTTTTATGCAATTATTACTAGATTTCCTCATAGCTTTTTAAATCAAATATTTTTAATACAGTACTATTTATTGCAACTGAATCTCGAAACGAAAACACGCATTTAGTAACCCCTTTTTGAAAAGTCTGATTAGCGTGATTTTGCTGTCAATCTTTTTTTATGATAGTTACTGCTACTAATTTCATGATTTTTCTTAATGTGATGATGATTTACAAATGATGAAAAAAAAAATTGTCTTTTCCTTCTACAAAATGCAAGAATATCGACATAATATTAGAATAAAAAAATATTATATACTCAATTAAAAAATCTTTTTTTTTTCTTTGAAGTTGACGCTTCTGTTACTTTAAATTAGTAACATGTATATTTTTAATTTTTAAAAGCATCTTGCAGAATGTTAGTATTAGAGAGGTATGTCGCAGAAAGGCCGAAAAAATTTTGCCACAGGAGATTTAACTGGTATATAAAGTATGCTTACATTTTTAAATGTGATTCTCTCAAAATTACCTGGGTAGTGCACTTCATCTTTTGGGTGGTTATCTTTTTAAAAAAAATAAACTACTAATGTACCAAGGTTCATCCCTCAGTGGATTTTCCAACTCGTGCCCTCTCCTATGTTAGGATCATTTTCCCAAATAATTTTAAGGGTAATTTCATTTATTACTCTTAACTGTTCATAATTTTTTTTAATTTTAAAATTTTGACTAGCTGCTTATCCAGCAATTATAAAACTTCTTTGAAAAACATTCTTAACTGAAATTTGAAAATTCATTACGATTGAAAGTTTATTATGAAGTCAAAGCTATATTATGAAAACTGAATATTTGAATCTGGACTGGCTGTAATTTTGATATTGAGAGAACTTCATTATGTGTTGTCATATTTATCAGGAGAATTTAATGTACATTTTTAATATAAAAGGAAAGAATTTAATATGAACACTAGAATTATTGTTATCATTTAACTGCTGATTTAACTGATGGTTTTACAGACTGTACAACTTGAATAGTTTTTATTTTAAATTTTGAACATGTATCACTTCATTATTTTAAAAATATCTAGATAGAATTTAATTTTGAATTATTGAAATTTTGAATATTGCTAAAACTTGAATTACTTGTATTAATAAGACATAAGAAGAATATAAAACATGGCAAAATTAAACAGCTGTAATGTCAGCCTTTGACCGAGTGACAAAATATGTCAATGGTTGGAAGGAAACACATATTTATTTTTTCACCCTCGTTCATATAGTTGGAAAAAGCTGTGTTGTGTAGAGAAAGATAAAAATTTACCAAATTTTTTTAAATCTGAAATGTTTTCCTTTCTCTGTTGCTTTTAAAGGTAAAAAAAAGTTCAAAATTTAGAAAATTTTCATAAAAATTTTTTAAATGTTTAAAAATTTTTTTCAAAAGTATTGTAGAGTTTAAAGAACTTAAAGATAAGTATGATTTTATTTGCATATAGAAAAAAAAAAACAATTATAGTGTATTTTTTTCATTTAATACACATGTAAGTTTTATGCTCATTAGAGTAAATTAAAGTACATCATTGAAATTTATTTGAAATAATTATTTAAATTTTTTACATGATATAAAGTTATGAAAGATATGTAAAGTTTTGTCTAAATTTATATAAAGTTTCTTGTATTATTTTCTCTTTTTCTATTACATGCAACCTTTTTGCTCTATATTAATAGTGAAAAAAAATAGTGTTTTTTGGTCCACTCTAGTTCACGGTAATTAAGGTATAAATTACAAGTTCAAGAAAAATTATTTATGTTAATTATAATTATGAGTTATTTTCTCAATTTTAATGTTACCAAATTTGATTGAAGTTAATTTACTTCAAGTCAATGTTATACATTTAAAAATGTTTATTTTTTAATATAAGGCACCTCATCCATATTCTTGCTTGTGACATATTCGAGAAGTAAGAGTTTTCCATGTGATGTTAAAACTTTATGAATTAAGCATTCCAAACTTTTACAAAGGCAATAAATCAGTTTCTCCTCGCTGCTGAATTCAGGAAAACTGAATTTTTTTTGGAGGAAATGAGTACTTTAGAGGAATATTTTTCATCATCTTAAAGCTGGTTGCAATGATGTGGGAAATCAGAGCTGTAAATGATATTTGATGCTGAATCAATTAAATAACTAAGTATGTTGCAATCTAATGAAATGTCAATTAATTGCAATGTTATTTCTCTTCCATAGTTTAATGTTTATCAATATTTTAATGACATTGTTCATGAGAAAAGTAAGTATGAAATCTTGAATATTTAGTTAGAACGTATCAATTATTATTCTTATGCTCATATTCTCGTTATTGTTCATTTCATTTATTGTTTGAACCATAAAACTAATCAAATTCTGGTGTTTAGCTCTTAAATTTATTGAATATTTAAATTTAATATTAATTTTAAATTGACATCATTTAATATGTAAATTCATTTTTTTGAGACTGTAATATCATAATTTTAAATAATCATTTGCCCATATTTAAGGGCATTATTTTAAAATTATTTTTTAACACTCATATAAGAGCATAAAACAAACTTACACACCTTGCAATTCATGTTATCAATTGTACTTTTGTATTTTATCAAAATAACTGAAAAAGAATTGACTTTTTTACAAAGGTATTCATTCATAATGAATGATGATAAAATGAAAAATTGCCTGCCATGTACTCCTAGTTCTTACACCGTTTGAAAAAATATCATGGTAATTTTTTAGAACTATGAAACTAGATATGAGATTTTTAACTTTTATACTTGCTTACAAATTTAATTAGAATTTGTAAATGCTTTATTCTGTAGTGTGGTTTTACATGACAACAACTTCATAAATGTTTTGGAGTGTATTTAAAAATGATTGGAATTCTTTGAACTTTAAATTGAAGTGATCTTCATTAATTTATTATGTGCATTTTTGTTTTCAGCTAAAATTTTATGTGAATTTCCTGCAGAAAGGCTCTTTCTAATTTAGGCATTTAATTTTGTTTTTAAATATTATTAAAAAATCATATTTTCTCACTTGAAACTTTGTACTTTTATATATTCTTCTTTAACTATATTTGTAATCATTTGCATCATTAAAATTGAGGCATTTGGTTTCAAAATGAACTAGTTAATTACCAGAAAAATAGGGCCATAGTGTAGTAGGGCCTTACTAGTAGAAAGTGTTTATTTTCTAGATATTTGAATTTGGCTTAAATGTTTTTAAGATGACTGTTTCTTAAAAACAGTTTAATGTTAAACTTAAATCTCAAGTACTTTTATTTATAGAGAAGCTTGTGTGAATATTACTAGTTTCTTTACACAAATATGAGTGCTATGTGTGGAAAATTGTTTTTCATTGTGGAAAATAAAAGCGGGAGAAATATGTGTTTTTTTTTAATTCGTAGAACTGTCAGAGGTTTAAAAAAAATGGACATAATTGGAACTAAGAGGCAATGCAACCAGAAAAGTGTTACTTTGAGATGTATTTCTTCAAAAAACATGGACTAAATTTTTTTGTTAACCTCATCGTATAAAAAAAACTCAGTAACTAGTCTTTATGAAAATGTTTTTTTCCCTTTTAAAGATATGTATTGTATACTTACTTTTTAAGGAATATAATCTATAAATTAAAGTATGTATCTTTATATATCCTATTCGAGGAAAGTTTGTTTGCTCTTGGTGAAAGTATGCAAGTTAAAAGGCAATCTTTTATATATGAGATCATCACAACAATAAATATTTCATATAAAAAATATCTTTAAGGTACACATATACTTAATTTTTTGTTACTATAATAGAAAAAAAGAATTTTGTTTAGACTAAAGTTATTTAAGGAGATTAATATATACACAAAAAAGTTTGCTGGTTTGGAAACCAAATGCCTCTTTCATATTTTATTCATGATGATACCATTTGCTTATGGTTTATAGAAAGAGAATAGTTTTTGAAATGATGGAATTGTTTGAGTATAGCTAATGTTAATAACTTGAAATGGGTCATGATTACATATTTTGAAAATTTAAACATTGTATTTGATGTAATGCTTTTCATTTATTGAAACATGTAATAAAATTTTCTTCATTTTTTTTATCAATTGTTTGAATTATTTTTAAATGATTATTATTAAATACTATTATTTCTCTATATCAAAAAATAAAAGCTGGAATAATTCTAAGCAAAAAAATGTACAAGCAAGTAATTATTAGAATAATCTGAATTTCCGTTTTCAGGAATATTCAGGGGAAAGTTTCAGGAGGTTGGACTGTATTTGTGTGACCAAGAGAACCAAGCCAATTTTAATCAATGAAAAACAAACATATTTTAGAATTTTTTTTCACTCAATTTTATAGCTTAGATAAGTTTTATTTACGGAAAATTCATTGTTTTTATGCTACAGTAAATAATTATGTCTATGATGTAATATTTTTTTATTGAATTTTTATAATTATGTTATGAAACCAATTTTAATTCATTCACAGAGAGACTTAAAGTTTAAATGCTTCCTTTTATTGCCATAATTAAACATTGTTTTCCAAACATCGTTAAACCATGTGTTATAAATTAAGTCTAATAAAATGAAAAGCTTGAGTACAGAAGCCAAACCCTCTCAAAGGGTTTCTGCACTAAAATGCATATGAAATGTTTATGAAAATATGTCATTTATAAAAAAACTCAGCGACATGACAATTGTTGCTTGCAAGCAATCACATTAATAATAGCCAGGCAGATATTGTTGCTCATTCTATAATCTGTGTCTTGGTCTGTGAAATATTCCAAAACATTTCGTAAGGGTCAAAGTTACTGTTTATGCATCAATGCTTGCATATTATGCTGATTTACTGGGAGAATATATTTAGATAAGAAAAAATATGTAACTTTAAAGTTTTATAAGCATGTACAAGGAAAAATAAATAAAAAGGTATAATGTAGTTTTCAAAAGATAAAATTTAATGAAGATAAAATGGCATAGAATATGTACAGTAGCATCTATTTACATTGATATTACACTCTTTACTTTAATAAAAATCCCCACTGTATACTTTACAGTAAATTATACTATTTTAAAACTTTTCAAATATATGTTGCAAACACAATTCATTGTGGTATCAATTTTATCATGGATTTAGTTTAAACCAGAGGAATTTTATTATTCATTCCATTTTTCACGTTCATGAATAATTTTGTAAAGGTATTTTCTTGTGTAATAATGGGCATTCTAAGTTTGCGAGTTGATTATGTACAAAGGCAAATCTATCTTTGGTCGAAAGGCAAAGGCAAATCTATTTTTGGTCGAAAGTCAATATGGGATAAAGTTGAACCTTCAATAATCTGTGTGCATTAAACTGTATGAAAAGTGTTTCTTCAACTTGTATTACTTAAAGAAGTTGGAATAGATAAAGTTAGCATGTTTTCTTACAGTTTAGTTCAGAAATTTTCAGTGTGAAGTATCTTATGTGCGTTATATTTTTCTAAATCACTCTGTTTAATTCAACTTTTAAACATCAAAATAAACTTTGAATTACTTCTCTTAAAACTACCTTCTTTATACATCAAACTTTCTAACTACATCTTTGTTTCAGTTTCATCAAATTCGTTAAAGCTGCTATAACCAGATGCAATACTTGTACCTAAGAATAAAAAAAAGAAATGTTATCTTTCATAAAAAAATAAGTATGGAATGTAATTAAAACTGTAGAATTTTAAAGACCTTATCATAAAAGTAGTTTCAATAGAAAATAGTAAGTTTTAAACATTAAATTTATATCCCGAGTGCCCCCAAAATGACCAACGGATTGAAAAATCAATTGAAGAAAAACTGAAGAAGTTAGAATAGTGCAGTTTTGCCGCGTTCTGTTTAGAAGAACCAGATGATTTACTCCCTGTGTTTCAAAATTAATGACAATGATTTTCAATAGGTGCTACTAAGAAAACTGTAAAATAACAAGCACCATTTACAGTGACAGCGTGGCACAATCTGTGGACAAAACCGACAGAACCCCATGCAAATGTTTCAGTTTCATTGTATTACATTTAGCAGAAAGCGTAGTTTTGTAGTTTTCCATTCAGCTGAGTCATTTAATAATCGAGTTCGTAGTTAATTTTGAAACTTGATAAGAATAAATGTCTTGTTTTTTAAGCAGAGCGCAACAAACCGTATATATATTTTTATTTTTTGTATTTCTTATACATTTTCTTTACTTGGCTTTTAAATCGCCGGCTACTTTTGGGACAACTCCTTGTATAAGTTACACTTATACTTACAGGGTATCTGCGCACCTGGAAAGTCATGAATTTGAACAAAATTTGTCATGAAATGTCATGATTTTAACTATTTAAAAAAAAATAAAATCATTGAAAGTCATGGATTTAGGTCGCCGAAAAATCTAATTTTTTTAAATGGAATCCCCCACCTATTTCATGGTGCTCCGAATATCTGAATTTGTAACAAAATCCCCACTCAGTCATATTTTAACAAAATATAAAATGTTTTTATCATGTTCTGTAAAAATTATGGTGTTCTTTCAAAAAATGAAAGAAAAAAAGTTTCTGGAGCGAATTATCTTTCAAACTCTCTCCTCTCTCTCTTCTGTGATTTCAGAATTTTATTATGTATTTTTTTATTTTATCAATTTGAAATTCTAGCTGAAGTGAGCGTGCCATTGGCGAAATTTTTTTACTCCGAAATGAGAACAAAAAAATCAAGAGTATTTTTTTCCTTTCCGATGAACAGGAAAAGTATCTTTAGAATATAATTCCGCAGAAAAAAAATAAATTAACATTACTTGCTTTTGTATTTTTTTCAGCTGTTTTATTGCTTCAACTCTTTCTTTACTATGTTTTTTAAATTTAAAATCTCTAAATATGAAGATGCAGAGTATAATAGCTTTGTTTATACCCATAATTTCAATTAATATCAGTAAAATGCTTTTTAAAATTTATTGTGTTTTTGTCGGTGAAAATAGTAACTTCGCTAAGTCATGAAAAATTCTTGGAATTAATCATGAAAAGTCATGGATTTGGAAATCTAAAATGTAGCATATACCGTGTACTTAGTAAATAATGTATAAATAATCTATTCTTACCTATTTCACTTGCGCAGTCCATATCCACATCCTTTGAAGTTGAAAAATTTGATTTATCATAGTCAATGTTATCATCATTATTTACATCAGGGGAATTATCTAAACCTGAATCATCTGGCCAGGGGACGTTTGAAAATATTGGATTATTGAAGTGTTGAGTATCTAAGAAAATAGATTAAATATCGACATTATATTTTCTAAATTCTTGCAATAGAAAATGATAGACCTAGTAATAATAAAATGGGTATTATATTTTGTTTAATATTGAAATGTTTCTGAAATAAAAAATCTATCAGATTACTAAAAGAGAACTATCAAAACTATGATAAAAAATTTGTATTGTTATTTTTGAAAGTTAAAACTGTGTGAAAACTAATTTGCAAATTTAATTAAAAAATAAGTTCATAAACTCTATTTTGCAGTTACAATTTTCAGTTTAGGTTTTGTATAGTAACTTGCGGAACTGATGATTCTATTTTTTACAAGCGTTGTCTAAACATTATCATTTCAAAATTAAAATCTTAATTTTTTTTACATCACTTTTCTAAATTCTGTCTGAAAAATAGACTTGAAAAGTTACTTCTTTAAATTATTTTGGTTGTATTCTTTTTTACCAAATGGAAAAAAATGACTGAACCATGCGCATGTAGGATAGGAAAACAAAAAACTACAATGAATTAGATAAAAAAAAATTTGGTCCTATTGTTAGCAATTAAGCTCCGTTTCTTTTTTAATTATATATTAACCCATAAGCAAATTATATGACTCATAATAGATTAATAATTCATAAAAAAATATCGATTTAGCGATGATATTTAGGATAATTGAAATTTCTAATCATTTTTCCAGAGGCAACTACAATTGCATTAACTCATTTTAAAACAGTTTCTTCAACACCGTTAAAGTGTGTTAAGCTACAATGTTGTACAGAGTTTCTACACTCTCTATATGGTGTTAAATCGAATCATACTTCAACTTTAAGTTGTATCGTAATATCTTGTAATAAACTAAGATAGGGTACCTTTATAAAGTTGCAGCGAATTCGTGCAGTGATGTAGTTTAAGGCTTGATATTATAGTTCAACGTTAAAGAACTTAAAATAACAAATTAAATCAACAAGTATTATGTTATATTTACCTAAAACACTACGACATTCACCTTGATATCTGTAAAAAAAACATGGAGAAATTTTAATAAAATCAATATTTTTAAACTAGCATTAATTATCACTTGTTCAGTTAAGTAGAAAGGTAACTATTGTTTTGTTAATTTTAAAAGATAATGTGTTTCTTAAATATCTATTGATACTTAATATATTTTAGGTAGTAATTATTTTACCTATGCATGGTTAATCATTAGAGAAATCTCTCAAGTAAATGCAAGTAATAATTTAGCTGTGTATGAAGAAAACCGCAAGACAAATCCCTCTCTTAGAATAAAATTTTTAAATAAATGAAAGTAATCATCTGGACTAAATGATTTCCTCAGTGTCGTTTCAAAAAAGTGCTGAGATCACGTTTCTTAAGTTTTCCAATAATAATAACACTGGGAAAAAATGTATTTTTCGTTGCATGCGAATTTTAATGGATTTTGGATATTTTTATGTCCCTGATTTCAAATCTGCAATTGGTTTCACTTTCCAAGCTACAGTTTTTCTAAATGACATTGAAAGTCTATTTTGTCGAAATATACAAGTTTAAAAACGTTACATATAACAGAGGGTCGCGTAAATGCTGCGACCGTTTTCTAGGGGAGTTAGGGCACATAATCAGGATTAAAACTGAAAAGGAACCGGAAATGCTCAGAAATGTTATAATACGCCGCTTGGAGCACTTCCATATTATGAACTGTTTCTTTGTGCGCTTCTCAACAGGACAAAATAGGGAATCGTCCCTAGCCACTTATAACGACATTTCCAGGCATGGGCTCCTATACGATTCCTGATGATGTGCTTTAACCCTCTGGAAGTTTGCCGCAACATTTACTCGATCCCCAGATATATATAACGTTTTTAAACTTATAAATTCCGACAAAAAATTGGCTGAAAATCTTATAATTTTTTAAATAAAAAATCTGTAGTTTTAGGAGCAAAACTAATTTTAGATTCGGAAATCCCAAAACCTGAATTAGGCACGATGAAGTATTTGTATAAATTTGAAAAAAAAAAATGTTTCTCAGTGTAATCGATAATTATTAGGTAGTAATTATTTAAGCTGTGCATGGCTAACCATAAGAGAAAAAAGTTTAATTTTTAATTAAATACGAGTTGTCACATGGAATAATGCTTACTTCTGCGTTTTTCAAAATGTTGCAGAGATGGCGATCGTGTTTCTTACATGTGGAAATGATTATTAATATTTATTAGATAGCAATTATTTTACAGCTACGAATGATTAACCACAAGAGAAATCCCTCACAAGGCGTTCACACATGAGAAATTATTTGGATTTTTACTTGGGTCTTTACAAGAAGGTGCCGCGATTTACCAATTTACGTTCTGTTAGGATAGGATTCAAAACTAAGAAATTATGAACCACAGTAATAAGGGGGACATAATTGAAAAAGAACTTAATAATGATTAAAAAATATAGAGTGCATATGCTGATTATCATAAGAAAAGTTGAGCTCAACTTCACTTTTTTATAGTATTCTGATAAGAATTTGGCCTGAGATTTTAGGTTCTAATGTGTTAGCCAATGGGGAGCTGCATATTACACCTTAAATCATCCATGAAAGTTGTTGTTAATATGCAAATAAAATCTCATTTTTCCTCTCCCTCTCAAATAAGTTGCGCGAGTTGCATGAAGTAATACAACGACTTCTCGATAGGGGAAATAGATATATATTTGTTGTAGAAGCTGACTAGTTGTTGGTTGATTCAGATGTGCAGCACTGTGTGTGCGAACTATTGTTTCCTCATATTATGTTTTAATAAATACTTTATTTGCCGGCATTAGCCTCTGTGTTATTCAACCAAACAACAGTGGTAGCAGAGCGTGGTTTACAATCATCATGGAGAAAGACTTAGTTTTTGGAATTCCGAAGTTGACTGGAACTAATTATCATCTTTGGGCCATGAAAATGGAAGCNTTGGAAGAATTGCATTGTTCTATATTTGTAAAGAAACCTGTGACCATTTCGTCTGACAATCAATCTGCAATTGATTGGTTGAATAGTGCAAAATCATCTTCTAGAACGAGACATATAAATTTGAAACTTCATTACGTAAAGGATATAATTGGCAAAATTATTAAAGTAGAGTATGTGCAAACGGACGAAATGATCGCAGATTTCCTAACTAAAGCTGTAACTTTTGACAAGCTCACTTGGACTGTGTCACAAATAAATTTAATTGATTAATTGTTTATAAGTTTAAGTTGTATGAGAAATTTAGTATATTTATGTTTTATATTTTGTGGAAAAATGTGTATTTATTCGCAGGGGGAGTGTTGTTAATATGCAAATAAAATCTCCTTTTTCCTCTCCCTCTCAAATAAGTTGCGCGAGTTGCGTGAAGTAATACAACGACTTCTCGATAGGGGAAATAGATATATATTTGTTGTAGAAGCTGACTAGTTGTTGGTTGATTCAGATGTGCAGCACTGTGTGTGCGAACTATTGTTTCCTCATATTATGTTTTAATAAATACTTTATTTGCCGGCATTAGCCTCTGTGTTATTCAACCAAACAACAAAAGTAATAATAAAAATTTTAAAAAATGAATAAAACAAGAATCTTATTGTTTTCTAGTATTTCTTATTTTTCCTTTAACTTTTTTATCCCTAATTATAACTTACTTATCGAGAACTGATCTGATTACAATAATTGTCTTTTCTTTTGTTAAAAAATAAAATGTTCGTAAAAAAAATACTGAAATCAAATTCCCATTTGTAGATAATGATAAACTGTCGTACATTACAATAAAATGAACTATATAAATGTAACTAATTTACTCACACTGTTGATAAATCTGTACTTAGATGTCTCTTCCTGTTCTTGTATTTCCTCGATAGTCCCCTGATGATCATAACTATTATTATCAGAACTGATATAATTCCAATCATTTTTATAATTATCCACCAATGACTACTTTCTGTGGAGCTTAGTTCAACTGCATCTAATTTGAAATATAAACGCAAATGATAATTTTTATAAAACAAAAATATATTACCAAAGTGTTTTAAATTGACCAGTTTTTAATCTATATTTGTAGAGTCTTTCTAAAAAATTAAGGAGATATATTTATTTTATAATACCATACCGTATATATATGTTACTATACCATATATTTACACAATAAAGGATAGAGAATCTATTTTAACTTTGCTACCAATAGGCTGAAATAAGCAATCAATATTGCAATACATGTATCACATTGACCACGAAGTGAATCATTGGAAGATTCCTGATAATTCACTAATTTCAGTTTCCACGTAATTCGAACGTCATTCTCTATTAATTCGACTTGTAAACGATTTTTTTCAAGTTTTCGAAATAAAAAAAGAATCTATCTAGGCAGAGTTGAAGGTCGAGTGACGGGCCCACCTCCATCCATACATTTTTCAGAAAGGCAATGTCCGTGTAATTTTACCAATCAGGCTGCACCTGATTAAGTTAAGTTCAATCAATAGTTAGCTTCTTCATTAACCTATCGCATGAACACAATCTATATTTCGTTAATCGAAGGCTGTCTAGGGTGGAATTCAGCTAAATTACGGTGGACAAATTTGGCAAATTTAAAGCCCATATTTTTACATATCACAAAATGCGATATGTTTCCAAAAATACATGCTTCTGATTGGCTAAATTGAGCCATCGTAAGTGCGAAAATTTAGCTGAATTCCTCCCTAATGTCAGCAAGGATATGAATTTTTCGCAGATAGATAACAATCAACAACATAGATGATAGATGACAAGTTAACAATCAGAAAACTGCATTTGACATGGTGAATATAGAATTGTCAGAAAATCAACAAAATGGACAGAACACAGAACGATATTTCGTCTGACCATCAGAGAGGGGGGGGGGCACACATTTAAAATCATTATCATGACGACTTCTATTTTGCTTTAACGAAAACTACAGTGGTGTTAATTTCTTTTCTAATAATCATATTTTTACAGAAATTCTTACGATTTCTAAAACATTGTTGCACAATTTTCTTCACTGTCTTAAATCTTTGGCATCCAAATAGTATCCTCTCTTATTTTATACAGTAGTTCCCGAGTTTTGAGGCTTCGAACGCCATTTAATATTTTTATAATTCTCGGTATAAGAAATAATTTAAGGAAGCCTCTTGGTTATAATAATTATTATTACGTCTTCGACGGTAGTATTAAAGCTAAATTCCAATTTACTATAACTTACTTATTTTTTCGATGACGCATCCATCTTTAGGATCACAGATGAAACCATAAGAACAATCGCAGACTTTCATACAGTGATTTCCATAGAAACCTTCTGGGCAAGCTAAAATACATCACATAATTTATTATCCAGTTAAAGAGAGTCAGTAGGGTATTTTTTAATTATTATAATTTTTTTTTTGGTGGTGGGCACTTGGGTTTATTTCCCATTGGCATCAGAAATGTCAGAATTGCTACTCTCTTGTCGTTACCCAGTGGGCACCTGTAAGCAACTGCGGTGGCGTAGCATCACCCACGTTATAAAACAACAAACCCGTTTATAGGGGGGGGGGGGCATTCACACATCANGGGGGGGGTTACACTCAAATAATCACACAGAAGAAATGACACAGAACACAGAAAGCCGCGATTGCTCAGGGGATAGAGCTTTCGCCTTCCAATGAGGTAAACCGGGTTCGATCCCGGCAATGACTGGTCGATACGAATTCCGCATCCGGCTTACACCAACCACAGTGCTGACGTGAAATATCCTAAGTGTTAGACGGATCATGAGTTAGACGGATCTCAGTGTTAGACGTTCCCTTGCCGTCAGGCTAACCGTGCGAGGCTCTCGTGGTCTTCCTTTCCATGTAACGCAAATGCGAGTTAATTCCATCAGAAAGTCCTCCACGAAGGCCAGTTTATCCCAATACTTGATCCAGGAGTTTCCTTGTCTTCTGAATTGGGTTCAAAATGACAAGGCTACGGAGTTGAACATTAGTAGTCGCAAACCCATAAAATTGGGTCGGCTGTTCAACGACGGTATTAAAATAAAAAGAACTCACAGAGTGAGAGAAAGCCTACGATGGGATTCGAAACCACAACCACTAGTCGAGTACAATAACCACTAGAGCAGTGATCGGCGGTTGGGCATATATCAATAATGCTAAAACTGATCTTTTTCGATATACAGTTTGTAAAAACTGTGATATCGCTTTGAAATTTTTTCGGGATATTTGAGATTATATCAGTTGTATGCTGTGATAGAGTTTTGGCGTTAACAGGAATACTTTTTGTGTCATGAAAGATTTTTGCTCAAAAATGATGAAACTTTTAAAAAAATTAAAAGTTCTTAGTTGATAATTTCTTAAAAAAATTTCTGCCAAAGATATGTATCAACAAACAGTTATTACAGTGTAAACATGTATATGTAAATACTCTGTTGAAAAAGAAACTGAAGCAATATCTTGTTTAGATGCAAAAGAAAAGGTACATCGAAATAGGACAGTTTTAACATTATTGGTATACTCCCTTAAAAAATATTTGCTCAAAAATTTGATTACTTGTTTAGAACAAAATTAAATAAAGGATTTTAACTAAAAACAATTGTTTTAAAAATATTTATGTTGTAGGGCTATTTCTGTTGAGATTTCATACAACTGGAAAATGCAGTAAACGAAAATTAAATTAGATGCACTGTAAAAAAAAATCCTGTAAAATTCACGATTTTAAACCGGCAGCTGTGTTGGTTGCGCAATTCGTAGCCTCAATGTTTTTTTTTTGTTTTCTTTTTGTCGTCTACCATACAAGAACAAGTTTTTTTTCCTTAAAAATTACGAAGAAAATTCGTCCGTTATCAGACTGGTTTTTTACCGTAACAAAACAAGATTTTACAATCAATATAAATTTGTTGTCTTAACCTGTCGTACTTAAGACTTTTCTCATAGGAAAATAAGTTTTCGCTGTGAAAGTTACTAAATTAATCTGTACTCGCACCAGATGTGAATATTTTAAATCGGCCGAAGTTGTATCAATCAGTCATCACTGGGTTTCGAACCTGGGTTACTTCATTGAGAGGCACGTGCTCTGTCCCCCAAGCTACTGTGACTCAAATGTTTTAGTATGAAGAAATTATGGTAGAAAGAATTTCGCTTCCATTTGAAAATAAAATTGAGTCGCAGTTTTATTTATAAGATGTTCAAAACCATAAAGTAATTGCTTAAAAGTAAGAGTAAGAATAAAAAAAAATGTATAAATTATAGAAAGAGAACTTTCACATTGTATAATCCTAAGTTATCCTTCCCATAATTTGTTTTCATTTTGATTAACTACTTGTTTTGTTGTAATTATTTGTTTTATTATGTTTAAAAACTTTTTTAAATGGCCATTTTTAGGTAAAATAAGGCTTTTTTTTGCATATACCCTGAACTCTGTAAAAAAATTTCAATCATCTGAAATAAAAAATACATTTAGAATTTTATTTAGAAGGCTATCAACTATGTTTTGAACTATTACCTTAAAAGTAAGTGCATATGCTACTGAGTTATTGATCAATGTAGTTAAAAAAAGCAAATTTTTAAAAATTTTCGCTCCTGTTTTTGCGAAAAAACATGCATAGAAAATGAAGGTTTTTTTCTCTTAGTCTGTTGTTCAAAATCTGTGTGCTATAATCATAAGCAATATTGAAAAATTGTAGACAATTATTTTAAAAACATGAGATATAGAGTTGTCAAAAAAAAAATCTGATTTTGAGATAACTCATTTAAAGGCTTAAAATCATTAGTCTATCCACTGTCATCAGCTTGCACTAAAACTGCTATAACTTTGTAAATATTTAGAGTACAAGCAAAAGTAAAGTACTTTTAGAAAGCTAAGCGTACATGGATTCTAAATTTTTAATAAACTCAATTTCGAAAATTTTCGCAAAATCATGCTTTTGCTCAAGTCCTTACCTGTACCTTAATATCATGTAAATATTATTAAATTACAATGAAATTCCGAATGGTAAATTTCAACCTTCTATGGTCCTAAGTTGCGTAGGTGAGGGTTCAAATTTCAGTTATTAATATATTTCGAAGCAGTCAATGATTGAATTTTAAGAAAAAAACTAATTTACAAATCAAAACTCATCAAAATCGTAATTTTCTCTTACAATTTTCTCATCGTGCATGGGGAGAATCGACATTCATTGTTGTTAGTGAAGAATAATGACATTAAACAAAAATATTTTATAAAACATCCAGTAACAATTCCTGCTAGATGTCTGTATTTATTGCTGTAAAAATAAATAAATAAATTTAATAAATATTTTTTTACATTCTCTAAAGAAACTATATGAATATAACATTCACTGAAGGACTTCGACATTCACTAATTTCAGTATTTTACTAGAGCATCTATATGAAAAGAAATACATTATATGGTAAAACTCAACTTTGTAAGTTAATAAAAAGGTTATAAAAATGAAAAAAAAATCACCAAAATTTAATTTTACCAAAAATGGAAAGATTTCATAAAATTTAAATATAATCAAACTATAACTTCTTACCATCCGCACAACGTGGTCCCATCCATCCTGGTTGACAACGACAAATTCCATTATTTGGTTGGCAAGTAGCACCATTGTGGCAATTACACGTTTCACGACAATAAAATCCATAGGTTCCATTCATGCAAGCTATTGAAAAATAAATTAGCAAGTTCAGATCGAATATTAAATGCTGCTATATTTTAACGGAACCTACGGCAGTAGTTATTTAAAAGTAAAGTAAAAAAAAGCTCTTTTTTGTGATTGAGGGGAATTAAGGTTAAAATTACCGCAAATCTAATATAAAAATCTATTAAACATTTGCATCAAAGTTTTGTTGAATTAAAATAAGAATAAATAAATCGAGGTTCCAAAAATGACCGATAATTTGAAAAATCAAAAATAATAATAAACAGAATAAGATAGAAATGTGAACTTTTTTGGGTTCTGCTTAACAGCTTCCCTTATCAATTGTTTTGGAAAAAAAATGCAAAAAATCAACATATTTTCTTATTTTATTAATAAATACAAGGAACTAAAACAAAACATAATGCAGCAGTTTTAAGTTGAAATTTTAATTTTTTTGTAAGTAAAAAACATTTAATTTACCATCAGGTTTACTCTCCCTGGTTATCTCGGGTTAGTGAAAAAAGTTAAATATTAGCCTTTGTAAGATAGTTTTTAAAACAAGGGACAACGCAAAGTGTTACTTTCCAAACGCCAGGGAAGTGATACGCCATTTTTTTTACTCTTTTTTTTTCATGTAAATTCAGCAACCATCGTACATACAATTGCAAAAAACACGTGTGCCAGTCTCACAATCCAACAGCAAAACTCCCAAACAAAACTTGGTAAACTTTCAACCGTAACAGACTACTATTTTTTATTTTTTTAGTTCCAGCCGAATAAAAACGTGATAAAACAAAACGTATTGGCGAATTCTGCTATGCCCGAGTTTACTCGGGATAATAAATATTTACAATATATACATACCCGAGTTAACTCGGGATAATCAGGGAAGCGGTTAAACAAATGTGGGTGCTTTGCATTGATTTCAAATTTAATTTAAGTTAGTTGCTGAGAATACTTCTGCCCAATTATCTGTTGGTCCTTACTTAGGAAAGAAAATATCTTTACCATTGAACATATGTTTGAAATCAACGTTTTACGTTGATTTCAAATTTAATGTAAGTTAGTTGCTCAGAGCTCTTCTTAACAATTATTTGTTGATCATATTCTTCTGCAATGTCACCAAATCCGTATAACACTACCTTTCCTCTATCAGATCGGATTTGACCTTTTGCAATCACCTTATTATATGACCTTTTAGGAACTTGCAAACAATAATAAAAATTAATTTTTGATGTAACAAAAAATATCCTACGAATAGAACAGTCATCTCCAGTCCATCCTGGTAAGCAGAGACAATGACCATCAGTTTGATTACATGCAGCACCATGCTCACAAACACATCTTCCTTTGCAGTCTAAACCCCAGCGGCCTTTTGGACATCCTTCAAAAGAAGAAAAAATACATATATTTATTTTTAATAAATACTTCCAGATTGTTAATATTTTTAGCTATTTTAATATTTTATTTGAAAATTAAGATGCCTATTTGATCACGTATTGTAGCAGTTTTCACTTTAAAATCGTGCATTCACATATTTTCCTTATAGTACAGTCAAATAAGGGTTTGAGGAATACAACTTGATATCACAAGACTTATTGTATATTGGAATTTCCAATGAGTCTTATTATATATACCCAGATATATTTATATATCTGGGTTTGAGGAATACAACTTGATATCACAAGACTTATTGTATATTGGAATTTCCAATGAGTCTTATTATTTCGAATAAGACCTATAAAAATTTGTGTAATATTTGTACAGTATTCAAAAAAATAATAAATAAATAAACGGACCAACCTTAATAACTTTTGATCAAGTGATTGGGTCTTCACGTTCTAGGACACAACGGAATTTTTTATTACGGATGAGCATAATAATTAAATTTTTTTTTTTTTTATAAAAGTGTTAGTGTTTTAAGGAATTGAATGAAATTCTAAAACCCTCTATTTTTTTAGTACTAATTAAAAACATTGATCAAATTTAGTTTTATATTTTTAACTAGTATTTTATACTTTTAGTTGTAACTGGATGAATATAAAATTGAAATAAACTGGAGAAATTATTTAGAAAAAAAGTTGGATAAACAGTCATTTAATTCATCAGAGCAGAAAATACGTTTCTCCTACGTATTACAGCACACGGAATTAATTATTCAAATTTTCCGTAGAATATTACGGAGTTATTATTACGGAAGAGCATAATAATTCATTTGTTTCTTTCATAAAATTGTTCGTATTTTAAAGAATTGAATGAAATTCGAAAAATCTGTATTTCTTTAGCAGTAATTAACACTAAACATACCAACTCTTAATATATACTTATTTCTACCATAGCCGGTCAAACGATCGGACTTAATTTTTCTTGATTGAATGTATAATATGGATGTTAGGAAGGAAATAAACTAAAAAACACTTTATTATAATTAAACAAAATTGTATATTGCCAATTTTTTATGTATTACAATCACAAAGAATAAGAATTTTTAGTTCATTGCTCAATGCATTTTTTACATATACAGGGTGTTTCCATTGTACATTTTCAGCAAATATATTTCTTATAATTATTATTATTTTTATAATTCTTATAATTATTCTTACAATTGTAAGAATATATAAGAATTAAATTCTTATAATTATTCTTATAATTATAAGAATAATATTAATTATAAGAATAATTATAAGAATAATTATAAGAATTTAATTCTTATAATTATTCTTACAATTCTAAGAATATATAAGAATTAAATTCTTATAATTATTCTTATAATTAATATTATTTCTTCTAAGAACTTTTGCTGTCTTGATTGTTTCGACATTTTTCTGGATAAAAATTAACAGTTAGTTAGAAATGAAGTAAAGCTATCAAAATAAAATATAAGCTACTTACCAAAACATTTAGTTTTCGTCACTTTTTCTTACACAAAAATGCCCATCTGAAATTTTAGGTACTTTCTTGAAATTTGAATTCACTGTTATTCTGATTGAACAAACTATGCAACAGTTTTTGCAGAAATGTGGAACCAATCGAATGCAATACGTTGAACACGCATTACATCGTAATTTCTGATCCGATGACCTTATAAAGCAATAAATTGTCACCGGCCAAATGACCGGTTGTGGTATAGAAATAGGTATACAACCACTATTATTCGAAACAAACAAAATACAAAAAAACACCAACAATAAAATGTTAACTGTATATAATTGTTAGAAAAAGTCATGAAGTCAAATGTACGAAAGCGATAATATGATAAGCGCATTTTCGATGCAAAAGTTCTTAAACGGTCATTTGACCGGTTATGGTATGCTTAGTGTAAAAAACCTTCATCAAAATTAGCATTATCTTTTTAACTAGTATTTTAATACTTTTATCTGAAATTAGATGAATATAAAATTGAAATAAAAATTACTTTGTGAACAGTCTGCCCCGGTCCAACCTCTTGAGCACAAACATTTTCCAGTTACATGATGACAAGTGCTGTTATTAGTACAATAACATGGTGTCTGACAGTTCGGTCCCCAATTTAAGGGACCACATTGCTCATCACATCGAGTACCTAAAAAAGTTGGATGAATTCATTAGAATTCTACTCATAATAATGGAAAATGGAGTTAAGAAAACTATAATTTTTATTGAAAAAAATAATGGCGCAAAATTTTTTCAGAATTTTCAAAATAGTAAATTATATTAAATTAATGACAATTTCATCCCTATTGTTTAATTTTCTTTTTGCTGCCGGAAGTTGAACGAAAAATTTTCCTTTATAAACATTAATGATTAGGATGTCCTAAATACTCTTTATGAATTTTGTTTCGATTAAAATCTGCGCTAAAACAGCTTGGCGATATGTGAAATTAATTAATATATCTGTCAGATTTTTTGTTTGTGAATATGTATATCACTTGGATTTCTGAATTCTAAATTATCCTAGTACTATATGAGCCGCGATGGCTCAGGAGATAGAGCGTTCGCCTTCCAATGAGGTGAACCGGGTTTGAATTCCCAACGATGGCTGGTCGAAACGAATCCGCATCCGGCTTACACTGACCACAGTGCTGATATGAAGTATCCTCAGTGGTAGACGGATCACGGGTTAGAGTCCGTTTGCGGTCAGGCTAACCGTGGGAGGCTCTCGTAGTCTTCCTCTCCATGTAACGCAAATGCGGGTTAGTTCTATCAAAAATTCCTTCACAAAGGCAAATTTCTCCCAATATTTGATCCAGGAGTTTCCTTGTCTTCTGAGTTAGGTTCAAAATGACAAGGCTACGGAGTTGAACATTAGTAGTCTTAAGCCCAAAAATTGGGTCGGCTGTTCAACGACGGTTATAAAATAAAAAATAAAATATCCTAGTAACGAATGTTAATAAATAAAAATGATTTCATTGGTATTTTTAAAAAAACAGGTGTATAAAATTATATTTTACAATTATCCCAGTGCTGCGAAATGCCCATTTAGGAAAAGTACAGCATTTTGGAAAATAATTTACAAAAAAAAAACAATTAGTATTATCAGTACTTTATTTACGTCACACTAGATTTGCACAATGGGCTATTAACGACGGTCTGGGAAACATCCCTGAGAGTGATATGAAGACATGCCATCACAATTTTGATCTTTTATTTTGGTAGCCCAATGATCTGCAAGCTAGCTCTTTACAGTAGAACAGTTTAATGAAAAGGTAGATACCGCACGCCCTCGGTCCCTTCATAGCCGGATCATACTGGTCATCTACGTTTTCACTGACAGAGATGATTGACTGTGATCTATTAGTAACCGTGGTGAGAATTTTAAAAAAATTTATGTATTGTCATGTTAATAAAAAGTTTAAAAATAATTTTCCCGTTGAAGGTTAAAAAGGTTAATAATAATTAATAAATTGTAACTATTTATTAAAATAAAAAAGCAATGCGTTTTATAGATATAGTTAGTGTAATTCTGAAAATTTATAGCGTTCAATTTTACGGCAAAAATAGTTTTTTCCATGCCATATAGAAACATTTTGATTGCTTAATTTACGCTCTAGTACCATTGTTTACGGGTAAAAAAAATAACCCAAACGGTACGAATTTATTCGTTTAAGTGGAATGAAAAATAAATTCTTTTTCAACAGCCTGAAAAAATATAACTTTTTATTAAATGGCGAACTTATCAAAGTATTTTTTTTCAAATCGGGTTAGCAATAAATTTTCCGCTTTGAGAGCCACTGTTAATTTCGAAGAATATCACGTCTAAATAAGAATATCATATCTAAAATGTTTCAGATTAAATATGTGACTGAGTTTTTTTAACAATTTATGAACAAAATAATTTTAGATGTATCAAAAGGTTACTAATTACCTTGCCAACCAGATATGCAAATACATTCTCCAGTTAAAGGATTGCATCCTGACGAAGTATGCTGATTACAGTTACATAGGTAACTGCAATTATGACCAAAGTATCCTACCTGAAAGTTTATAAAATTATTTATTTGCGAAGCTATAACACAAGTGCTTTAAGCCAGACGTGGTCAAAATATAAAAATGAAATAAAAAAAGGTGCAAATATGCACATTAGGAGTCTCAAATATTTAAAAAAGGAAAACCTAAAACGTTATTAAAATCAGGTGAACCACTGTCGGGGAAAGGCCTAACTAAAAACATGAATATAATATAAATCTTATATATATAAATCATTCGGAAGAAGTTAATTTTAAAATGATAATGAGCTGGCCATAAAGCATACTGATTGAAGAACAGACAATCGCTGGACATCTCGAAATGGTAATCTCATAATTTCATAAAAAAAATTAAAAAAAATTACTACATGCAAAGTGGTTCAATGGAATTAGAAAATCAGCAGGTATGAATTTAAAATAGCGAAAGAAACAGATCGGTATTTGTTTGAAATTGCTTGGAGAAGTTTTTTTAAAAAAATAGCTCATACACAAAGTTCAAAATAAAAAGCACAATATAAAAACTTTCTTTGAAGAAAAGGTTCCATTACTTTTATTCCACTTATTAAAACTTGATGTATGAAATCACAAGAGTTTAAAACTGTAGTGAAGATTTGCTGACTATGTATTTATTTTATTAGTTATATTGTACTTTTGTTTCAGAAATATAATAAAGAAAGTTATCGATAAAGTTGGGGAAAATTTTAAATTCCTTAAAGTTCTACGATAAAATCATGGCAATATCTAATATTACGCAGTTGCTACTAAATTCAATGTGACTAAATAAATCCCCGTTTAACCTTGCTTCTGCAAGCCCAAAAATTTAACTAAGAATAAACCACTCAATCCAATCTGAACCTATTCAATGCAATAAGAGATAAGAAAATATTTCATATCTACCTTGCATGTTTCCTTGCATTGTCTTCCAGCATATCCAGCAAGACATTCACATTCTCCTGTAAAGACATTGCAACTAGTTGCATGAAGACACTCACACTTTAATGAGCAATTCATACCAAAATATCCTTGAGGACACAGCTGTTCGCAATATTTTCCAAAGTAACCTTCAAAAGTAACACATGATTTTTATCTCCTAATATGGTCATTTTTAAAACTCACTGTGGCAATACAAATATTTTACTTAAGAAAACATTTACACAGAATGTTCTTAACCGCTTCCCCTACCAATTTTTTGGAGAGAAAAAAACGCAAAAAATCAACATTTTTTTATGTCATTAATAAATACAAGGAACTAAAACAAAACATAATACACAAGTTCTAAGTTGAAATTTTAATTTTTTTATTCGTACAAATGTTTAATTCACCATCAGTTTAGTATCCCAAATTATCTCGGACAAAGAAAAAAAGTTAAATATTAGTCTTTGTATACATTTTCATAATCTGAAAAATCACTTGCATTACTTTCACTCTCTCTCACGAACGCCATTTTTTTATTCTTTTTTCTATGTAAATTCATCAACCATCGTAGATACAATTGTACAAAACACGTCTGCAATACCACAAACAGCAAAAGTCCCAAACAAAAATAGGCAAACTTGCAATCACAACAGATTATTATGATTTTTCGTTTTGCTTCCGGCCGAATAAAAACGTGATAAAACAAAACGTATTGACGAATTCTGATATGCCCGTGTTTACTCGGGATAATAAATATTTGCAATATATACATACCCGAGTTAACTCGGGATAATCAGGAAAACGGCTAAATCACCGACTTTTTCTTTACATTTTCAAAATTTCACAGTTTAGCTTGGCGACTATATGTGTTTTAACGCGTATATTTTCATGCAAAGGACGTATATCGTCGCTTTGAAACTAAACCGTGGTAACTCAAAAAAGCAAGTTTCTCAGGAAAGCGATTTCTAACTTTTCAGGAACTTCCACCGCAGGTTGACTCGAAGCTATGGCGACTATTGCAAAACAGTTTACATTTAAAAAAAAACCTGTTTCTTTACATTTTTCAATGAACCAGGCCTGATTCTTGTAGCATTTCTAATTTTGTGGTAATTTCGAAGTAAGTTAAGGTACTTTGATTTGCAACACTTTTCTCTAAAACTTTTATTAAAAGTGGAGAGTTATTTCAAAATACAACGATGTTCTTCAAAATATCCTCCCGAGTATTACATATTTCATTTCAAATTTTGACATACAACAATGTAGGGAAAAATCGCTCTCCTGAAAAACTTGCTTTTTTGGGTTATCACGGTTTAGTTTAGTTACAAATGACCCAAATATCTCATTTTTCGATTTTTTTTTTTGAGTTACTACGGTTTAGTTTCAAAGAGACGATATAGATATAGGGGAGAGTCGGGTAGCCCCGCTCACTTAAGGAGTATTGCTTATATTTCTGTATAATATTGAGTAATAATCAATATTTTTGTATGTTTCTATTGTTTGACCATATAATTAAATAATGCAAGGAGAATAAACCAAAAAAGAATAGTTTAACTTAAAAAAATAGAAATTTAAAAAAACATGTTTTTCAGCTCTTTTCAAAATGCGTCGGGTAGCCCCGCCCAGTTACAAAAATTATGTTTTTTGNTATGTGATAACAATGTTTCTTAATTTCATGAATACTGTATTCAACATATTTTCAAAACTATTGTTTACCATGTTAACAGCTCGATAAATACTTGAAACTTTGAAAATAATCTCTTTTTAATATAACAATTAATGTCCGATGGCACATTGACATGAGAAAATATTCTTTACATATGAAATTGACGTTGGGCGGGGGTACCCGCTGGGCGGAGCTACTCGACTCTCCCCTATATTTATTTACAGGCAAAGGAAAAGAGCTCTTATTTACAGTGAGACCGAAGTCAAATTAGCAGCCATTTTGGCTATTTTACCGACTTTGGCGTCAAAATTCCTACCTACTTTATCGCTCTCTGGATACAATACTCTAGTTTCGACTCTCTGAATATAATAGGAAACGAAATATACGAGAATTCACTAAATGGTTGGTGACTATTTACAAAAACGGTATTTGATGGACAATTTTGGTTTTAAATTATGAATCACGCATTTTTTTATTGTTTTTTTAGAAATATAGTTTCATTTAAAAGGCAGAAAAAGTTATTAAAATTTGTTGTACAGTGGAATTAAAAGCACCTTAAATTTTCTCAACTGGCAATTAAACATGTTCTGATGTTATTTATCCCACCTTACCTAACAACGATGCTTAACAGTTACATAATATTTTATTTCTTCAATAATATGTATATGTAACTTCAACAATATGTATTAAGTTGGAGATTAAGGAACATCCTGTATTTTGATAAACGATATCCAGACTGATTCTAGGTAATGATAGTTTAAATTCTGAGAAGTAAAATAAATGTAAGTTTTCTCATTTTTGGGATATGCGTTATTTTGAATATTTTATTGCATGAGAAGTAAATATATCGTTACAGCTAAAGAATTTTATGTAAAGACACAGTTGTTAAGAACCATTGAAATAGAAGCCCATTACCTGGAAGACACAGACAATCTCCTGTTGTATGAAGACAGCTACCACCATTTCCACATCTGCAGCCTCTGTTACATTGTGGACCATGCCATCCAGGTGGACAAATCATATCGCATCTATTTATTAAGATGAAATCTATTTAATTACTTTAATCTTAATTTTGAAAAGAATAAGAAATACACAATGATTAAAATGATAACTTAAAGTTATATAAAGTGCTCAAAGTAAAATAATAAATAAAAACTCTAAACAACTTTTAATCAAATGATCGGATGTTCACGTTCTTGAACTCAATCTTAATGGTTCAAGAAGGTGACTTCAAATATGCAAATTAATGAGCGCAGAAGATATTGTAAGTTAAAAATCAGCCCCAAATATGTACTTTTTGTGAATAAACATACATTTTTTTCGATGGATTCGTATTTCTGGCCCCCTAGATATAGGGGGTAGCCGCAATCTGGGAAAGACAGTCCTAATAGTTTGTTCAGGAGAGATGCCTAAACTCAGACTCTTTAATGCTAATTTAACTTTTTGCATGTTTTAAGCAAATTAATTTTTTTTTACTCGTAATTATAAAATTCATTTATCCAAAGATAATTCCATGCAGAAAATAACTTAGAGTAAATATTTATTATTTTTTATTATTTTATCTAATAATGGTAATAAAAAAATTTGAATTGCAATGTGTACAATTTTATGGATCACTTTAGAGCAAAATCGGTCGAATAGTTCCTGAAAAATTGAATTTTCAATATACGACTTTAAAATTAAATTTCTCTGTATTTATTTTTTACGCACTGTATAATATTGTTTTACAAGTTGCATCAATTAAAATAAACAAACACATTCATATTCTCTTCCTTATTAAATGCGCAGTGAACGCATTAGGTACAAAAACGAAATTAAATAAGACAATTAATCTATATATATATTCTGTGTTAACGACTGTCAAGGTTCAACTCCGTAGTCTTGCACTTTTGAACCCAATCCAGAAGACAAAGAAACTGCTGAATCAAGGGTTGGGAGAAATTAGTCTTTGTGGAGGACTTTTTGATGGAACTTATCCACATTTACGCTACGTGTAGAGGAAAACCACGAAAACTTCCGATGGTTAGACCGAAGACAAAAGGATTCAAACCAATGATCTGTGTACCACTGAGGATATTTTATGTCAGTATTACAAGGCAGGATCAGAATTCCTATCAATCAGACAACGCTATGATTCGAACCTCATTAGTAAGCGAGCAGTCTATCCCCTGAATCACCTTTCGTTTCTTTTTTTTATTTTTATTTTCATCATATGTAACAAAATTGAATTAGTCTAACTTTCACATTCATACACGTTATTCCCATATTATTTTGAAACTAGTTCACTAGTTAAAGTTATTAGTGGTGGCTCAAGAATCGTTGTCTCCCTATGAGGTGACCCAGGTTCAAATCCTAGCGGTGATTCATTGATACGAATTCTGCTCCCTGCTCACACCGACCACAGTGCTGACTCAAAATATCCTTAATGGTTTACGATCATGGTTAAGAATCTCGATATTGTTAGGATAACCATGGGAGGTCTCTGTGTAACGCAATCTTTTCCTCTCTGTGTAACGCAAATGTGCTTCAGTTCCATCAAAAAGTTTTCCCAATTGACAGATTTTCCCAATGCTTGATTCAGGAGTTCCCTTGTCTGCTGTGCTAGGTTCAAAATTATAAGGCTACGGAATTCAACGTGAAAAGTCGGAAATCCAGAATTGAGTCGGCTCTTCTACGATGTTAGTAAATAAAATAGTTAAAGTAAGCTGACTTGTGTAAGTTTGGCTATCATGTTTTTGACTTTTTACTGAAAGAGGATGTATCGAAGTTATGTTTAAGCACAATACATCAATTCTTTAAGCCCATAGATCTAAAAATTATTTTCTCTCTTAGAGTTAAGCATGAAGGTTTTACTAGAAATTCAAAAGACATTCCTATTTATGACAGTATTCGCTATGATTTAGCTCCATGGGTTGATGTTATCCTCATTTATTACGTCACTTGCATTAAAAAAGAGTAGAGAGAACTATTTTTATTTTCTCCATAGTAATCCAGGTTACCTGAATATATAAAACCTCAGGTTTACCTTATTTCAGGAAAAAAAATTTTTGAAAAAAATCTATTTTTTTATTTTATCCTACCTCAACCTTGTATTAAAATGAATTTTGCATGTGAATTTGAATGCAAAGAAACCTTCTTATGTTACTTTTGTCAAATTTTATAGTACCTTATATCAAATAAGATTAAAGAAAGTAAAAAGTAGAATAATTCAACGAAATGCTCTCCGATATAGCCAGGATTACAAATACATGCTCCATTGAAGGGTTCAATGATTCAATTCAAATTCTATAGTACCTTAGATCAAATAAAATTTAAAAAAACTAGAATAATTCAACGTACTGTTCTCCAATATAGCCGGGATTGCAAATACATGTTCCATTGACGGGGTCACAGGTTGCACCATTGCTGCAATTGCAGGAGTGAGCACAATTCAACCCATAGGTTAAATTAGGACATCGGCGATCACATTGCTTGCCAATATATCCAGGTAAGCACTCACAGTTTCCATTGATTTGGTTGCATTTGGCGAAGTTTCTACAATCACAAACTTTAGAACAGTTTTGTCCAAAATATCCGTTTGGGCAAGTCGACTCACACTTTTCTCCAGTATAACCTGAAATATCAAATAAATTATATAGTATATTCTGTATGGAAATCTAAAAGAAATTCTCTATTTTTGATATTTATCGAAACAAATATGGTTTTATTAAAATACCTAGAAGGTCATAAAACGGGGAAAAATAGCTGGCGTTATTTTAGAATTTTAAAACCAACATTACAAAAATTAACAATACAGTTCTGTTATCAGTATTATTTGAGAGAAAACTTAATATTTTATATTTGTAAATTTTTAGATTTCAGATAAATGTTTTTGTAATTTTTAGACTTTTGATAAATATATTTGTATTTGTGTAATTTACTTTACGAGAATTTTTCAGCATCATTGAAATCAGTTTTTCATCAGTTTAAACAATAAAAGTAAATTTTAAAAAAAAAGTAAAATCTGACAAATGTATTGTATTAAATAACCTATTCGGAAGCACTAACTGCATTGTTATATTGTTAAGTTTTTAGACTTTTTAGAAGTTATCAAATGCTATTTTTCATAATCTTATAAAGCAAAGCTTTGATTTTCTACTTATTTAAAAGGTCTATTGAAAAGTTTTCAATCCAAGAGTAGAAAACTTTTCGTGAGTAGTATTCTCTAATATGCTGTTTTATCACCAAATACATCTAACTACTGTTCTATCACCAAATATCTCTAATACACTATTTTATCACCTATATATATAAAAAAATCTGATAATCACGCAGCGATATTTTTGATACTATTTAGAATTGAAAGGAAAAAGCTGTGAAAAGCGTGAAACTTGGCAACTACAGAGTTTGTACAGTCCTTAGAAAATTACATAATATGGTCGTTATTTTAGATTACGTTTGATTAGCTTTCAATTTAAATTTAAAATTTCGAAACTCCAGTGTTACAATGTGTAGAAAAAATCCCTTTGTTGGATACAAAATGAGACTTTTTTTCTAACAGTTCTTAGAAATTTTAAAAAGTAGTTACAAAAGTAAAAACTTTTTGAAATTTTTTAAGAACCATGCGAAACACGCTTTTTACGAATAATCGTTATAGAAGGGGCAGTATTCTAGTAACAGAATATTTAATATGAAAATTTGATTTAAAAAAGGGAAAAAATTTCTGAGTTGATATTAGATTTAAGCAAATTACAACTTCGCTTGCAATTTAAATTACTAGTCAATAATTCATAAATTATTTAAGATAATTGTTTTATAACGAGATTATATAATGATGTTAAAATAACGAAATAAATATTGACTAATTAAACAAAATAATTGTTTGATTCAATAGAAAAATAATTGCTGTCACCCTTCTTAATATTTGTTATATTTTATAATATAATCAATCGATACTTAAGTTTCATTTGAACTATAATCATTTTGATTATTTTAATTGTACTTCTTAAATAATTATCTTTGAAAAAAATTAAGATTTTATAACCGTTATTTTGTCTTACTAATGTTTTTGTTCGAGTGATTTCATTGAAGAAATCATAAAAATACATACTAAGGAAGGTGATAACAGAACACCCGCTGTAACAAAGGATGATACCCTATCCATTTGTATAACAAAATCTTTACCTTCTGGGCATTTACAACTGCCTATGGTATGCAAGCATGTAGCACCATTGAGACAATCACATTTATTATTACAACTCGGTCCATAAAACCCTTGAGGACATTCCTTTTCGCACCTGAAATGTAACACATTGTAATTTTATTAAATACACTAAACACATTGTAACACATTGTATTTAACACTTTAAATAATAAATAATCAGTACTTAGCATTTGAAAATCTTTTTAATGCAAAGTAGGCAGTTTTTAGTACATTATATTTAGATATTTAAATATTGCTTCAATACCAAAGTTCTAATTTATAATATATTGTAAACAAATATTGATAAATGTCCTGAAATAAGTAAAAATTTCTAAATTGAATAAAATCTTGTAATTGTTTGAAGAAGTAGAAAAAGTTTTTTTTTTTTTAGTTTGAAGTAGTTTTTGTCACACAATATTAAATATCTAAAACTATATTGGATTTTAAAAAAATGCTCTCATTCTACATTTTTATATTGATGAATAAATTTTCAGGGCTCAAATTATTAATTTATATGGATTATAAAAGTTGTCCAATCTGGATTAGGGTAAAATTGCATCAGACGGAATTAAAATCCTTTAAAGAGTTTTCATTGAGTCAAAGAAGGGTTTCAGGTACAAGTTTAAAGCCTACCCTGTTTCAGATTGATGTTTACCAGCTTGCAGGTGAAGTAAAGATAGCCAATACAGGACAACATTGCTGCCGTTGATCACGATATTGCAGAGCTTAAATCTTTTTAACCTCTTTGGTCAATAAATAGCTGCTGTTTTACTTTTTCTAACATAAAAGACTATATGAGATTAAAAAAGCGAAACATTAGGATTTAAACAAAGCAAAGTGAAACTGCAAGCTACGCTTACAAAGGATTTCAAAAACCGGGCCAAGAGTTTTCATGATTACGTAGTTAGTTTCACGAGTTGAGTTATCTTTTGGATTCGAAGAGAACAAAAATCAGAGGGCCATACGTCCGTTGTTGTTGTTGTTGTTAATTTACGTCGCACTAGAGCTGCACAATGGGCTATTGGCGACGGTCTGGGAAACATCCCTGAGGATGATTCGAAGACATGCCATCACAATTTTGATCCTCTGCAGAGGGGATGGCACCCCCGCTTCGGTAGCCCGACGACCTGCGCGCGAAGTCGAGCACTTTACGGTAGCACAGTTTAACGAGGACCAATACCGCACACCCTCGGTCCCTACGCAGACTAATCCAAGTGGTCACCCACCCGCACACTGACCGCAGCCAGTGATGCTTGACTTCGGTGATCTGCTGGGAACCGTGTCTTAACGATCAGTTCACTGCGGGACGGGCTATACGTCCGATAGTAGTACTTGTACTTTCACTTACGTCGAATTTGAGCTATACAATGGGCTATGGGGACGATCTGGGAAACATCCCTGAGGATGATCCGGAGATAACATACATACGTCATATCCCGTTTTACAGGGAGGACACATTCACACGTCAAACATCCGCAGATCGTAATTTTGACCAGAACCAGAGCACGATCAGTCTCCGATCCAGTACCCCCAAAATATTGTTTTGTTAGGGGAAAGTGGAGGACTTTGTGACCCAGACAGATTTAGCGAGCATCAGTCCCCATTTTGAAAACGGAGAGTCCTCGACTGGTGGGGATCGAACTCACGACCCACCGGACATCGGCCCAACGCCCTACCAAACAGGCTATCTTGGCCGACCGATAACAGTCGTAGTACTACTTTATTTACGTTGCACTTAAACTGCACAGCGAGCTATTGGCGACAGTCTGGAAAACATCTCTGATGATTATCTGAATTTGTCACTGATAGTTGATTTCGGTCATCTACTGGAAACTGTGTCTTACGATAAGTCAGCCGTAGAACGTGCGATAATGTATAAAGGTTTCGAGCTTGCGAATCCTCATAAAGAGAGTATGTAACCAGAGTGGTATTTGAATTGCTCAAATTGTCTTATTTTTGGTGGTCCCAACCCACTCAAACAAGAAGACTTTTAATCTAAGTCCACCTCAGTACGGGATCGATAGTAGCTTTTTAAGCTCAAGAATTAATATAGAACTTAATTAGAAAATAATCATAAAAATGAAACTATTGCGCTACTATTTATTAAAAATCACACAAATACTTATTGGAGATGAATGGATCTCTTATGGAGATCCGAGCCAACTCAATGGAGATCTGATTGAGTTTTTTGAGCCCAAGCTCGGATATTTATTAGATCAGATAAATGCCAAACATCTAAAAAGCTGTATAACTAGATTTCGTAAAAGTATAAAATGTATCTATTAGTATCCATTCAGGGAAATATAATTATTTGAGATTATCTCTGACTTTCAGATCATATTGTTGTAGTTCATTTACGTCACACTAGAGCTACACAATGGGCTATTGGCGACGATCTGGGAAACATCTTTGAGGATGATCTGAAGACATGCCATCACAATTTTGATCCTCTGCAGAGGGGATGGCACCCCCGCTTCGGTAACCCGACGAGCAGCACGCGAAGTCGGACACTTTACGGTGGAACAGTTTAACGAGGACCCATACCGCACACCCTCGGTCCCTACACAGACTAATCCAACTGGTCTCCTACCCGCACACTGACAGCAGCCAGTGATGCTTAATTTCGGTGATCTGCTGGGAACCGTGTCTTAACGATCAGTCAACTGCGGGACAAAAGTGTATTGATTTATTTATTCACATACCTATGTATCCCGTTGGATGCGGTTCCCAGTACATCACCGTAGACAGGCATCACTGGTTGCTGTCAGAGTGCGGGTGGGTTACCACTTTGGCCAGTCTGCGAAGAGACCGAGGGTATGTGGTATAGATCCTCGTTAAACTGTTTCCCACAAAGAGTAAACTTCACTAGCAGGTCGTCAGACTGCGAAGCCATCCCCTCTGCAGAGGATCAAAATTGTGATGGCATGTCTTTGCATCAATCTTATTCAGGGATTTTTTCCAGAATGTCGCCAATAGCCCGTTGTGCAGCTTTAGAGCGTTCTAAATAAAGTATCACTGCTATTCACATGCCTATGCGATCTGGTATGCTTAGTAGAAAAAACGACCTATGAACTCTTATCAACAGATAGCACAATTTAGAAGAAAACAGCAAAAATATGCAGCTAGGATAGCGGTGGGATTCGAACCACTCGTTTGAAGCAATTTGGCATGTTCTGTCTTTGAAAAAATGACAAAAGTTGCTTAAAATAAGTTTCAGGCAATTTAATTTGTTTGTGTAATTTAATTCTTCCTTATGTAAACAAAAAAAAATTTTTAGGCATTTTTAGAATTCTTACGCATTAGAGACCGTAAGCACTAATGGATACAATACGATGCCGATTTAATTAGGAAAAATGGACTTACTTATCTCCAAAATAGCCGACTTCACAGACACAAGTACCATTTATATTGTCACAATGTGTTGCATTCATGCATTCACACTTATGTTTGCAATTTAAACCGAATGTAAAAATTGGACATTCTTCATCACATGCCGATCCTGTGAATCCAGGAAAACATTCACATTCTCCTGTTATTGGATTGCACTTAGCTGCTTGTTCACATATACATTTACTTGAACAATTGTAACCATATGTACCTGATGGGCATATTTTTTCACAGTATTTCCCATGATATCCTATAAAAGTCAAATAATCAAAAATAATAATTGGTTGGCAACAGATCTAAGATTCAAAAATTCTTTTACTTGCAAGTCATTTAGTTAAATAAATACAGTGCGCAAAATAATAATTTGAACACCTTGAATAACTTTTGATCTAATGATTGGATTTTCTCGTACTAGAATTTAATCGTAATCACCTCAAATATACTTTTTGAGCAGCGATGACTCAGGGAATAGAACGTTCGCCTTCCAATGAGGTGAACCGGGTTCGAATCCCAGCGATGGCTGGTCGATGCAAATTCCGCATCCGGCTTGCAGCGACCACAGGGCTGACGCGACATATTCTCAGTGGATCATGGGTTAGAGTCTCCTACCATCAGGCTAACCATGGGAGAATCTCGTGGTCTTCCTCTCTATGTAACGCAAATGCGGGTTAGTTCCATCAAAAAGTCCTCTACGAAGGCAAATTTCTCCCAATGCTTGATTCAGGAGTTCCCTTGTCTTCAGGATTGGGTTCAAAATTACAAGGCTATAGAGTGGAACATTAGTAGTCGTAAACCTAATCTGGAAAATATAGCCCCAATAAATTAGGAGGAGAGTAGTGGAATGTTTGGTCCATTTAATGTTAATTTAATTGTTTACGTATTTCACCATATCTTGGGAAGTTTATCAGCGAATCAAAGCATTTTTTCACTCAATTATAAAATTTGTTTATCTAAAGATAATTCCATGCAAAAAATAACTTTTAGTAAGTATTATCTTTTTTTTACTATTTTTTTTTTGATAATTGTCGAAACAATTTTGAATTTTTTTTTATTTCATTGATTCACAAGGAACTAAAACAAAACATAACATACAAGTTCTAAGATGAAATTTTAATTTTTGTATATATAAAAAATACTCAATTTACCATCAGTTTACTATCCCAAATTATGTCGGGCAAATGAAAAAAGTTAAATATTAGTCTTTGTATATGTTCATATCTTCATAATCTAAAAAATCATCTACATTACTTTCATTTTCGCTCGCGAATGCCATTTTTTACTTTTTTTTTCTACGTAAATTCATCAACCACCGTATATTCAATTGTACGAAACACGAATTTTCTGTTTTGCTTTCGGCCAAATAAAAACGCGATAAAACAAAATGTATTGACAAATTCTGCTAAGTCCGAGTTTACTCGGGATAATAAATATTTGAAATATATACATACCCGAGTTAACTCGGGATGATCAGGGAAGCGGTTGGGATTAACATAGAACGTGATCAAAAGTTATTTAGGGTGGTTTTCTATTTTTCTCGCTGTACATTATTACGATATCATTTCAAATTGTCTCTTAATATGGATTTTCACTAAGTTTTGAAACATAAATATAAATCTTATGATTTACCAGTGAAATGTATCGATAGAAACAGAAAAAATATAGATATTGTTTATCAGGTTACATAAAGGTTACCTGATACGCAAATGCACATTCCATTAGTATGTAAGCAATCTNGGCAAATGAAAAAAGTTAAATATTAGTCTTTGTATATGTTCATATCTTCATAATCTAAAAAATTATCTACATTACTTTCATTTTCGCTCGCGAATGCCATTTTTTACTTTTTTTTTCTATTTAAATTAATCAACCATCGTATATTCAATTGTACGAAACACATTTGCAGTCCCACAAATATCAAAACTCCCAAACAAAAATTAGCCAACTTCCAATCACAGCAGATTATTATTATTTTCTGTTTTGTCTTCGGCCAAATAAAAACGCGATAAAACAAAATGTATTGACGAATTCTGCTAAGTCCGAGTTTACTCGGGATAAAAAATATTTGAAATATATACATACCCGAGTTAACTCGGGATGATCAGGGAAGCGGTTGGGATTAACATAGAACGTGATCAAAAGTTATTTAGGGTGGTTTTCTATTTTTCTCGCTGTACATTATTACGATATCATTTCAAATTGTCTCTTAATATGGATTTTCACTAAGTTTTGAAACATAAATATAAATCTTATGATTTACCAGTGAAACGTATCGATAAAAACAGAAAAAATATAGATATTGTTTATCAGGTTACATAAAGGTTACCTGATACGCAAATGCACATTCCATTAGTATGTAAGCAATCTCCATTGTTTTGACACAAACACTGCCTAGAACACATTTCGCCATACGTCCCTGGTGAACATATTTGGTCACAACTAAAAAAAGAATTATTTTCAAAATATAAGTAAAATAACTCTGCTTGTTGAAATTATGCTTTATTTTAGCAAATTAAATAAGTGAAAGTGTAATTAAAAAATGAAGCAAAAAAATCTAATAAACTCTCTTTCAATCGCAACGTTCTTTAGATCGAATTAATAAAATAGTGAGTTGGGATACTGTTTATGCCTTTTTCTAAATGTTACGACAAGTTTGTATGTCACAAAAACTTTACTAAACTTGAAATTTTTACTTAGTTCAAAAATATTTCAAAAGCTTAGACTAACCACATTTTTAAAGCCAAAATAATAAGTCACAATTTATAAAAATATAGTAAGCAACAATTTGTCAAAAGGTGACATTTTTACATCAAACTGTTCCTTAGTATTGTTCTCATGTAGGTAATTTGCAATTATATGGAACAACAGAATACAAAAGAGCTTCTTATTGCATACAAAATTATGATATTTTTTTCTTACCTCAAAACACTTTCTTGAATTATTTGAAAATGCGACTCATTATATTGCCCATGGCCCTTAATTTAACTGCTAAAACTTTTAGCATTTCATTCATATTCAATTCAAATAATTCTATCCTCCTCGATTCAATTTAAGATCATAATAATTTATTTAATTTAAGTGCAGTTAATATTTATGGAAGATAATTTGCAGGTACGCGTTAGCCGTCATGCTTTCAACAGGATTGAATTTTATTTTAACAAGACTGTTAAGCGGTTTTAAGAGTACATTTTTCTTAAATTCTTTTCAGACAGAAAACTCTAATTATGTCAAAAAAATTTCAAATTTTATGTGTGAAATAATTTCGATATTTTTCCTCATTATCAATATTGAGTCAGTTATTTGTAAATTTTACAAAAAATTTAGATTTAGTTTTATCTGCAATACTAACATAAAAAAGAAAAACACTGGAGAAGTTCAATGCAACTGCAAGAGTACTTTTAGTGCTGGCACTGCATCACAAAATAAATTAGTGTTCGATTTATAATCTCACAAATTAAAGTTTTTAAAAAATTACTTAAAGCAAAATTTATACGAGCAGTTTGTTCGATAGCGGACATATTTTTTTGATATTCTCAAAATCTTTGTCAAAACTGATGAAAAAAAGTACTCAGATTGAGAGTCTCAACTAACCATCGAAATCACTATCGAGAAAGGTGAGCGTACGAAGCATAGAAACCTGTTTAATTGCCGGAGGAAATGACAAATGGTTATTACAAACACATTCAAGCTTCGATTGGCAATTGAACAGAATTTGATTTTATAAACTTCCATCTTGCTCAGTTGTAACTTATGAGATTTTGAGAGAGTTCTTTATTTTTTCACTCTCTCACAAATATTCATCTGTGGCCCCCAAAGTGCAAGCTTTTTCTCTTAGGTTTTAGCGAGAATTTTGAAATGGTATTTTAGGGACGGTCCTTACAGAAAACTTTGCTTATTTTAAACTTAAAACGGTGGCTGATCTTAAAATAATTTTTTTAATACAAGAAATCTTATTTTTTGCACCACGACTATGCATATACTATATGATATATTGCGTACCAAGCTTCATAAAAATATATTGACACTTTCAAATCGCAAGCAAACTAAAAGTGCCTCTTACGTAAGTCTTTTTTTTTGCAAAAAAAAAATTCTTTTTTTCAACTTTGCTTACAATAATATTTGGAACAAATTTTATATACATTGTTTAAAAAAAAATACAATGCTGGAAAAAAGATAAGATTAATAGTCATTACTACTACATAAGTAATAATCACAGCACCATCTTGACTATAAATAGGTTAAAAACTATCGCAGTAATTTTAAATATCTTATTACATTAAACACTTACTATTTTAATTTCATCTTACTATATTAAATAAGTTATTAACTATTAATTAATAATATTGTTTTTAAATACCGAATGCTGAAAATTATGCAGAAAAACTAAAATACTATAAAATCTATTCTCTAAATATTTTTTAAAAAAAACAGTGAAACGTATAATTAGTGTAAAATATAAAAGTACTTACGTATCCCCAAAGTAGCCAGGCTCACAAATGCAAGTACCGTTTACTGGATCACATGTAGCCCCGTTGCTACAGTTACATTTTGAGTTGCAATCACGACCATATGTCCCTTTTGGACAAGGTAACTCGCAACGCTCGCCAGTAAAACCTTAATGTAAACAGTATGAATATGAGAAAGAATGAAACAAGAAATGTAAGTGGTATAGTAAATAAATGAATTTATAAGTTTTTAAAATAAAGAATAAATAATGAATTTATTATAAAAAACTATATGTATAGAATCTTGGAAAAAAATTTAAAATTTTCAAAAATACAAAGTATAACTACAATTTGGTATTTATCAAAAATTGAGATTGTTCATTAGATTTTGCAACTGAAATAAAAAATAATACTTTTATCATTCTCTTCTGCAATGTTACAGATTTTATGTACACAAATCAGTCCGGAATCGGTAAACGTATATTTAAAATTTGATTTCTCAGGAACAATTCGATCTATTTCATTCGGATTTTAATTTTGAAAGATAAATTACATTCTTTTAAATGATGTATTGCTTACAATTCAAAATTTCTTAGATTACTATTTTATTACATAATAAAAATTAATAAATATTATTTTTGTGCGTGTAATTATCTTTGAATAAAGAATGCTTTTAATTCCATGCAAAAAAATTTCAATTCGCTTAAAGAGTTCTCGAGATATGACGAAATATGTAAAAAGTGAAATTTACATTAAGGGGCCCACTATTTGAATCGCGTTCCTGACCAAAACTATTGAGTCCATATTTCCCCCCGATATTTTGGGGGTTAAAAATCCCAATCCGTCCATAAAAAACTACGTTTATTCATAGAAAGTACGTTTTTGTATCAACTTAAAATATCGTTTGCACTAACTATTTAGCATATTTGAGGTCCCCCCCTTGTACCAATGAGATTGTGTCCTCAAACTTATGTAAAAATCCGATCATTACATCAAAAGCTATTCAGCGTAAATCCTTTTATTTTTATGTATTGAACATCAATGCATCATTTAAAGTTGTACTGTACATCAGCCATGCATCAATAAGCAGATTGAAAAAATTACATGCAGCAGTATAATCAATTGGGGAAAAAAGGATTAGCAAATTTTAACGTGTTGTGAAACCTATTTTAATAGAAAAATATTTGAAAAGAGGTGCAATCAAACGTTGCTTTAACTAAATTTTCAAACAATAAGAAACTGCCTGNAAAACATTAAATTGATATTTTCAAATTTTTATAATTATAAGTGAAATTAGACTTAAAACAATGGGTAAAAACATATCTTTAAAACATATCTTTAGAAAGTTCATAAACATATTTTTTTTAAAACATATCTTTAGAAAGTTCGCAAATAAATAGCCTACTCTGCTTTCTATTCATCTCTAAATAGCAAGGCGTTTGTTTACAACTTGTTTCATGCGATTTTTGCTATATGGCAGCAGCAGTTTAATAAAAAATGCCTGGTCCCAGCTCAACCCCCTTGCCCGTTTTTGTCCATCAGTCCGTACATTAATTTCAGTCTCAGGTTTGTAATTATCTATATATATATAATTTTAAATTCTCATCTGTAACCATAAAAGCAATTTTTTTGTTACTTTATGTGGTAGCTAAAATAAGAAAGTAGCAAATTACATTTGTTCAATAATGTACTACTATCATTCGTTTCATGAGTGTATTTAATTTTTTATTTTCTATTCTATGATTGATCATTTTTCATTTTTTGTGATCATTTTTTATTTATGATGGGATCATTTTTTTATCTTTTATTCTATGTATGTTTAAAAATGATCCCTAATAGGTTAATCACATATTTATCAAAAGAAAATTTTCAATAGTATGGTCCATTTTTCACTAGTTCTTTGAAACAACTTTATTTTTTCTCTCCTTATCGTAACAAGTTATGTTTCCTTACAGCTAAAAAGCTTACAATTACTTGAGTTTTTATAATATCGCTTTTCAATTGCAGCTTGTTTATTTATTTATTTCGTATTACACTTTTTAAACAAAGGTACATTTTGACATACTCTACGTTAATCTTAAAAATAGCAATTTAATGATAGCATAATTCCAGCTAAAATTTGACATTTCTACAAGAATTTTGCTTTTTTTCATGGTGTTTAAAATAGCTAATCAAGTATTTTTAAATTATGTAAAATAAATAGTAAGAAATAATTAATTATGTTCATATTTTATTATTTATTAATTTATTATTTGTTATAATTTATTATAATATTTTATTATTCATAATGTTTATAATTATTTATAATTTATCATTATAATTAAATAGTTTTTGACACAAATAATCTCCGATTTTATTCCTATCAATCATCCAGCAGTTGAATACTCAGATAAGAATATTTTTTTGTTTGAAATAAATAAAAGAGTCTTATATTTTCGATTATGATTAAGAATTGTTTAAAAAACATTCGATAATTTAACTTGTTTGTTGTTTCACAATTAACTACCTATTTGAAAATATGAAACTTTCAGATTTCATAAAATACCATAGATGGAGCCACCAGAATAACTGTGAATCATTTAATTTCAAAATATTTTTGAGTAATGATTAAATTAAATAAAGAATTAACGAGATTTAATAAAAAAAATTTACTTGGTTTCATTAAAGTAATTTTCCAATTTCTAAATTTTATTAAGTGGTTTCTTCTGAAAATCGATTAAGATTTGGAATTCTGCTCGAAACAAATACTAGTTGTTTCCGTTATTTATTTATTTACAGTTTTTTAGGCAACAATATTGTTGTTTTTGAAATTTATAGTTATTTATAATGTTTTAAAAGTTATTGAATATACGTAAAAATAGTTTATTCTATCATCTGCGAGGAATAATATCTTGACTCTAACTTTCAGAAGGGATAATTTTCTACAAGTTCCTTCAAAATTAATAAGAAAAATGTCAAATTGAAAGTTTTGAAAATTTAAACAAAAAGATAGTTGTTATGCTGCATAAATTTTTTTTTAAAATTGCACATAATAGAAATATTATGTGAAATGTGGGGGAAAAAGTGATTTTTTTTAAAATCTAAACAATGAATTTCTGATTGAAAAAATATTCAAAAATGAAAATTTTAAAAATCCTACATCATATTATAGATAATTTTCCGTTTACTACATATTTATTTATAAAAGAAAAATAAATAAAAAAAAATGAGGAGGCGATGTGTTTTAATTGAATCAAGTGAAATTTTTTGTTTCCCGACAAAGAAAAATAAAATATTTCTGACTCATTTTTCAAATGACGAAGTAAAACTGCATATTCTCTTTGAAAGAATAATAAAGTATTACAAAATAGCAATTACAAAAAAAATCCTAAATTACATTACATATAATTTAATTATATACAATTTCATAAAAAAAGAAAGCAAGCTGTAAATGGATGAAAGCGGTACAGTAGCGTACGTTTTAATTATTAATGCAAGGAGAGAAATTTTATGTTTTCGGCAAAGAAGAATGAAATATTTTGGGATCGCTTTTCATATGACAGAATAAAGCTATGCATTCATGTTGAAGGAATGAAGAAACTACATATTTCTTTGTTAAAATTTTTGCCGCTACCGAAGGAAACCAAACATTAATAGCTTAGAATATGGTCTTGCTTTTGACTACAGTTACAGAGCTACCTTAAAATAGCCTCAGTAGAGATAATCCATGGGTTAGATCAGGGGACGCCAAACTTTTTTGATCATCGACCCCTATATAATTTTTCGAAATCTCCATCGACCCCCACAAAAGTAATTTTCTGTTAATTTAAATAAAACTCTATTAGATACTGTGTTTGTACATTTATTTTATGATTTTAAACATTTATTAAAGTAATAGTACATTGTGTAACAATAGTTTTACGAAAAATATATTAATATTGAAATTTAAATACCTTATTATTAAACAATAAGTAATTATGCATAAGTAGATATAATAAGTAAAGTAACTAAAGGTTTACTGCTACATTATCAATGAGTGGGTGTGCCTGATGTTTTTTTGCAAGGTTCGCAATATTGGGTTCAAAATTGGTCAATTTTAATTTTCGTCAAAATTGGTCAATTTTGTAACTTTCGTAAAAAAATTCAAAGTGTGCTATAGTTTTGTCGCGGGCTGTACTAATCCATATTATTAATGCTTACCTTCTTTTTTGTGCATTGATAATTAAAATTGATATCTAAACTAAACGAATGGTTTTATTGAAACAATAACTTATTGAACAAATTATCCAGAACTATAAAAGTTTTAATAATGACACTGCAAAAATTCAACACAGTTTGCAAAGATAGCTGAAACTGCGTATGATATTTGCATTTGTAACGTCAATGCTCGTCACACGTGATATTTGGACAAGAGCACATATGCATATGACTTATAAACTGCGCTGAGTTCGTGCCACTGCGCGGTGGTACGTACACACTTGTTTCATCCCAATAAATATACGTTTATTAATTTATGTTTTATAAGGAAACTGATATTGAGTCAATTATAAAAAATAATTCACAAATTTTACATACTTAATTAGGTATGTGTGATTTGCGTATTGAGAACTGTTTTATTTTTCGAAGCACAATCGACCCTTCCGATTCGGATCGACCCCCATTCGCCCCCCTGTCTCAGATCGACCCCCGCTTTTGTTAAATAGACCCCTGGGGGTCTATATAGACTACTTTGGCGACCTCTGGGTTAGATTTTTCATTTCCGTCGGACTAACTTTGGGAGTTTTATGTGATCCATTCAGCATATCATGTACGTGTTTTAGTTTCCACCAAGAAGTATTTCACGAAGTTAAGTTTATTCTATTATTTTTCAATAGCTGCCAATTTATACGGTAGTTGAGAAAAATATTTTTTAGGAGTTGCAGTATTTATGTTTTAATATATAAATCTCGGTTTTAAAAGTTTAAAATATTCTTTTTTTACACTTCATGACAAATCAATAACGTCTGCATATAAAATCTACTAGCTGGGTTGTTATGCTAATAAATGTTGGTGAATAGCGTAATTTTTAGAACATTCTTCGTACTTAAAATACTATTTTATGAACACTTTACAAAATCTTTCGAAATACCGTACTTGGGAGTTATGTTATCTCCAGAACTGTTCTTCAAATCTACAGTCTCTGGCCGAATTATTAGACGCCCTATAAGATTCTATGTAAAATCTTAATTATTAGGTGATACTATACAGCTTTATTGTTTCTATGTGACTGAAACCGGTTTGCACTTGTTTACGTTAGTGTATCAATTGGTTAAATTAGACGATATATAATATAAATTTGACGATAGAAAGAATTAGACGATTTATTATATGAATATAGAATAAATATTATATCGATCATTATATTAGTATATTATAATAATTAGATCACATTATTAGGCGCACTGTAGTTTTTTAATAATGACACGATTTGCACGAGTTTATGGGCAATACATTTATATTTAAACAAACATGTAATAGGTTTTTATTCATGAGATTTTTTATATACTTCCTATTTGTATTTATCTTTAACGGTGTTGCATTGCAATGTTAACCAATTGATGCAGGACCGTTAACAAATGCAAACCGGTTTCATCCGAGTAAAAGTGATACAGTTGTATTATAATTTTACAGAGAATCTTATAATGCGTCTAATAACAGGGATTGTACGTTTCTCGGTCTAAGTACTCAATAGACCTTGCGTGGAAATATCTAGGCAGAACTCTTAGGTGTTTTATCAATGACTTGAGGTAAGGGTCACTAATAAATAATAAAAAAAAAAGCGAATTAAAAAGTAAGAATTAAAAAGATACGTACCGAAAGAACAAATGCACGTTCCGCTTGACGACTTACACGTTCCTCCATTTTCACAGCGACAATTATATGTACATCTTTTGTATGTTCCATTTGGGCAAGTTGTATTACACCTGTCAATGTTTTAACTTTTATTCGTATCATAGAATTGTATTATTATTATTTCATAGTTATTATTTGAAATCATAGCTTAATATTAGTTAAAATTTAGATTATAATCGTTATAGTAAAAACTCTCTATTGATAAATACGATTATTTTCTATTTATCGATAAGTACAATTAACCTTAAACTAAACGTACAATTGAATTAATAGTAAATTAATCTTACGTGTTAATTAATTGAAATTTAATGGTATGCGTAATCGTAAATTCGATGTTTGACCAACTATAATGTTAATGAAACGGTAAATTAGGATTGCTTATCATCGTGATTAAAATTATAATTGTTAAAAAAATTGTGATTGCTAATAATTAATTAATTATTTCTTTATATGATTATGTTACTGTAATGCGTTTGCCTTTCATCCAATATAAATTATTACTACTGATCAATATATTAATTGTAAAAAAATTAATTGAACTCGATTGCGAGCAATTAATTACTCTTAATAAATTAAATTTTGCAGGACTTGGTCCTATGCCCCACTTTCTACGCATAGAAAACCTCATATCTCTAATTTTCAAACTTTTTATTATATCTTTAAGATTATTTAGTAGTATAAAATTAAGCAACCAGTGCTCTTTTTAGTATTTAGTTGAAGAAAGAATGTATATAGAAATTCAGTAAACAAGGAGTTATAACAAGTAAATGTTGTTGTTGTTTCGAATGACACATAAATAAACCAAGCTTGCCGGCCAGTGGCCTTTTGCGAATTAAGTCAGGAAGGGGCCCCTTTCGTTTCATAAGAGAACACCGCAAAGCGGAAAGTACGTCTTAGCTCAGAACTCCACAAATAGATGGCAGCACCACTCATTTATGCCACTTTCTTAATTTAGACAAGGGGAAGGAAATTTATTCATACCCATGGTACTGCTCAGCAACCGACCACAAGGGTTCATTCCACAGATTTTACGAGTCCGTATATCGCATATACTCGGTAGGTATTAGAGGAGTGGCGGATCGAACCCTGGCCCATCAGGACTGGAGTCTTATTATCTAACCACTGGGTTACCATGGCCTTATATATAAATTTAAACTGATAGCAAGCATTTTAGCAGAAGTACTTTAAGTGCAAAAGGTCAAAAGCTATTCTTTTAAAGTGCTTGAATCAATCAATTATTTCTAATAAATCCGCTCCAAATTTAAAAAAATATATATAGATATTATATATATATACATATATACATAAAACCTTGGTATAACGATACTGTCTATAACGATGAACCTGTCTATAGCGATATTTCCTTGAGGTCCCGGTAAAATTCCTATTTACTCAATGTATTTTTAACCTGTTTATAGCGATAACCACTTTTCAGTTAAACATGTCAACAACGATAATTTTTCCTCTTTTGATAGTTGATAGTTCCATTCCGATTTTTCTACCGTTGGAAAACGATTCCCCATCGAGCTTAAATGTGAGATAACAAAATATATATTTTTTTTCCATCTCCTTTGTATGTAATATTCTTTCGTTGTTTCTGAGAGAAAATGCCACTTTTAGGGGAAATTAGAGCAGTAGAAATGGGTGAAGGGGTATTTGTAAGAGTTAAATAATAATATTATTTAGTGCGTATAAGATAAAGTAAATTTGTTTATGTATTATAATTAATAGATTGAAATATTTGGTATATGTACTAGTAATTGGATATAGTCATGATTNAAGTTTAATTTATCATTAGTTTTAAACGTATACTTTTAAATTTCAAACCTGTCTATAACGGTAACCTGCCTATAACAATATTTTATTTAGGTCCCTACAGTATCGTTATAGACAGGTTTTACTAGTTTCTTACTTGTGACAGTCACAATGACCATTTGTTGGATTACAATCAGGACCATCATTGCAGTTGATAACTAGTTGAGGTCTCTGACTCAAATAATGATTTTGAGATCTACTTTTATCAGGTGATTCTTTAAAACACTCACAGCGCCGGATGGGATTCAAGCACTTTGGACAATCACATTGCTTATTACATTGCAAACCAAAGTAACCAGATGGACAGTTTTCTTCACATGATTTTCCTTGAAAACCTTAAAACAAGAACGGATTATATTTTATTAAGTGAATGCAGTTTATTTCCATAAACCAACTTAATCCTCGCATATATTCTCAAAATAATCTGCTCAATGCTAAACTATAATATTAGTATCTAGAATTATAGAACTGTGCAAATTTGATGCGCTTACCAACACAGTCAACTATAACTCACTGCGAGGTGTCAAAAAAACTAAGAAAAGAATTTCAGTATTGTTAGTAACTAATGAGCAAGGTTACTGTTAAATTTCAAACCTGAATATTATGTATTAATATATTATAATAACTTCTCTAAAATCCATCAAAATTAAAATTTTATAATTGAAATTCGACTTTTATTAATTATAAACTTTGAATTATCCCGTATAATATAATTATCTTACTCACACATCCAGTTACAGGCCAATCCAAAGTAACTGTCTAATCAAATGTGGTTCTGTACTACAGTAACAAAGATCCATAAAGTATATCCCACTATATTCTATTTACATTTTAATTTTTATCTTTTATTATAAGGCAAACTTGGTACGATCATGTTTTAAATCATTTTTGCAAGATAAGTGGAAAGACATTTGAATTCGCTTAATATGTTACATTTTAAGTTTAATTCTGTATTTTCCTAAATATTTATTTATTTTTTTCTTGATATTTTTAATTTTTTATTTTTACTTAGTAAGTTTTATTTTCATTTAAATTTTTTTGGTGCTCCTCACACTATTAAATTGATATATTTTTGCTTCGGATATATTAATACAATATTAGAAAGCACTCTTTTTTGCAGATATAATCGTGTGGGCTGACAACAAGATTATATCTTTCCCTCATTTTGTTTTTTGGCCTTTTTAGGTGGTTTTTTCTTTAAATAGTTTTTAAAACATTTTATTTATTAATAGATTTTCTTCTTCACTATAAAATTATTATTTTTTCCTTGCATTTTTTTGTTGGTATTTATAACTTATTTTACGTGTTCTATGTATTTGCAGCTTATCTGTAGTAAAAATTTTTTTTTATTATTTTATATATATATATATATATACATAAATTAATGTTGCATTTTACCTAGAAAAAGAACAATGGCATGAATAGTGAAAATACTTTTCCATTTCAATTTACTACGTGCTAAAGCCAAAGTGTTAGTAAATCAAATTTATTTCACCTGTGCTTTTACTTACAAATGCTTTTCATGTCATATAGAAATACCGTATTTCTACCACAAAAAAAAAGAAACTCATTTTGCAATAAGTAGAATTGTGGGTGGGGAAAGTATAGAAAAAGGAAATGGCGTCTAGACATTGCATTTAAGTTTTATAACAAATTTCAAGGAAAAAGAAAAGCATTTTTATAATATTTCCAACGTATGAAACAGCATTAATAAATTTAATAAGAATGGGATGTATTTAATTTATGACGATGGTTCACATGAAAAAGCTTTTATTACTTAAAATTTAGGAAGAGTAAAAATTGTGCGCTTTTGAAAATCACTCTCTTAATAACGTACATAATTTTAGAGTCTTGTCAAAAATTACGACCAAAAAGAATACACCTAATGGGTACCTAATTAATATTTAAGCAAGGAAAAACAATAACATTATCGATATCTGACAAATCACTATTAAGGAAGGCGCAATTGTACACAACATCAAAACCTGTTTGATCACCGGTTGAAACTCGGAAGGGTTTCCAACAATTGTATTTCCACTTCTCTCTATTATCCTTCGACAAATGAACATGTTTTAATGTTCTGTACAACAGCTTTCTGTTGTTAGTTTTTAGATTTTTATGGAGTTTTTCTTTTTTTTTTCTTTACTTAAATGACATCTAATTTTCAAATATTCTTTACTTCATGTTAGAAAAGAATTCTAAAAATCTGTATTAAGGGTGATTATTATGAAACACTTTATATCATAGTATGATGTTGTATTGTAGCATGTAGCATTATGAGATTTACACAATTAATTTAAGAATTTGTCAATTCATGACTTATAGCTATGCGAAAAAACAGTTTATGCTCTAAAACCTTTTTCCTGTATCACATGGAAGAAAAACATGGCTCTCTTTTTGAAAATATAAACATTAAATAACAGTTGATTAAGTATGGTGAATGTTATTAGTTTAGTTAATTTTTTCGCGTATTTCGCTATGTCTCGAGAACTTATTAAGCGAATTGAAAAATTCTCTGGCACAATAATAAAATTTATTCATCCAAAGATAATTCAATGTAAAATATAACTTTTATAAGATTTTTATTGCTTAATTTAAAAATAGCTGAAAATTTTTTTAACTGTAAGGTGAGCAATTTTTTGCACCATTTAAAGACTATAATCATACATGAAAAAATACAAAAAATTAGCAATATTGGTTGAATAGTTCTTGAGAAATCGAATTTCAAAGAAGTCAGATATTTAAAATTTGATTTCTCAGAAACTATTCGACCGATTTTGCTCAAATGTTGTATTTTGCCATGTAAAATCGTATTCTGTGAAAAATTTGTATATCTCACAATTCTAAAATTTTTCGACCATTATTAAATAAAATAATAAATATTTCCAAAAAATATGTTTTGCATGGAATTATCTTTGCGTAAACAAATTTCATAATTTAGTTCAAAATTTTTTAAATTCGCTTAAAAATGTTCTTGAGACATAAGGAAATACACAAAAATTAAAATAAAGATTAAAGGGTCTAAACTTTGGAGCGCTCTCTTGATCAAACTTTTGGGGGTCAGAAATCCAAATCCTTCAAGGAAAAAGGTATTCGATGATTCAATGAAAGTACATTTTTGTGTCTGAAAATATCGTCTGTACTTATTAATTAACATATTTGAGGTCGCACCCTCGATCCATTAAGATTGAGTCCTAGAACGTAAAGATCCAATCCTTAGATCAAAAGTTATTCAGGGTAGTCTGTTTTTTTTTTCGCGCTCTGCATACAATCGATTTATTAACTATTTATTTCAATTTCAATGTAAACGTCTTTATACCAGTTCCTAAGAACCCGTATCGATTTTTCAACCTAGAAAAATATATATGACTTCATTTTTGAAATATTTTGTTGTGAAAGAGATAGTTGCTAACCAACTATCATGGATTTGCCTTCATTTCAAGTTTGCATGAATTTAAATAGCTTTTTTTGTGTAAAATTAGTTGGGAGATTTTCAGAATATTTTAAAAGTTTTAAAATACGAATAGCTATTAAGTAAAACTAGAAAGGAAAATTTTATTATAATAAATTCATAATGTTACTGTTCATAACTAGACTAAAAGTAAAGTATTTTTGAATTGCATGTTGTTCAGAGAATTGTTAAGTATTATTTTTGAACCAGCTGGATAAAATACTCTAAAAACCAAGTTCCTTTATTATAATGTTTAAAAAAAAGCCAATGTTAAAAGTAAAATAACCATACTTTACAAACATAATCAATGATGATAACTGGTCATTTAATAAATATTTTCTAAAAAATTTAAAAAAGAAAAAAACCCGGATTAAAATTTATGACTACAAATAAGGCATGTAGTATCATTGCACAAATTGTAACTTAACAAACTAATGAATATAGTTAAATAACAAATATGTATAATATTACTACAGGAAAAATAAGTTTTTATTAGGTCTCTTTTCATTTAAATTTATTGAGGAATAAATTAAGTATGTCAGTAACTACCGAATATAACATAACCAAGTTAAAGAAAAAAAATTAAATTCAGGAAAACGTTTAAATACAAAAAGGATTTAAATGCCCTAGTGTGAAATAAAACTTGCAATTTAATTGTATCATTAAAAACACTAAAAGCAATATTAGTAACGTTTAACGAGTTAAATAATTTATTGGTTGTGAGCGAAACTGTGTAATTTAATGCCCGAATACAAAGGTTCAAGAAAGAATAGTTTTTTTTTTTAAATAATATATTTACAAAATTACTGAAAAATGAATGGATATTTTGTAGTTCTTAAATGAGATAAAATATTTTTTTTTCAGGATTTAGTAACAATCAAGAACTTTTGTTTTATTTAATAATAATCCCTTTCGAGAACTAGTTTTCACACAATTCTATACTACAAAATGTAAAAATGGTAAAAAAAATATGAACGAAATATAGTGTTAATAAATACAAAGGATGTATCATCATGTTTCGCCTTACTCTTATTTTTGCGAAATGAAAATTTGATTCTAATTCTGTCCTTCATTAATTAGATTATATCATCAGTGTTTTTATTTTTATTTTTACTACGTTTTATATTTTCATCAGGATAATATACTTCTAACTATTATTATTATGTTTTGCATTTTCATCAGGTGAAGATACATCTTATTATTATTTTATTGTGAATTCTTATTAGGGGAACATACTTTTAATTATTTTTATTATGTTTTGAATTTTAATCATGTAAATATATATTTCTAAACTATTAATGTAAATAAAAGAGTAAGAAGTAAAAGTAAATATTGTACAAAAAATTTTAAAAATATAATTTTTTTCTTATACCACTATTTTCTCTCGAAATGAGAAAAAAATCTATGTTTTAAAAAATCAAATAAAAAAAGACTTATTATCATAGTTTTTAAATTTAATTAAAATTTATCATAGCTTTTCTTTTTCAAATGAATTCTAATAGTTAATTTTCCTATTATATATATATTCCCTGATAGGTAACCTTATGGCAAACGTTGTATTTTTATTTATATTTCCTTAGAATAGAAAGGTTGACTGATTTATCCTTTCTTAAACTTAGAAGAAATATTAGCATGCAAGGCTTGCTTCCTTAAAGATTGAATAAAAGAACGCTAAAACCTTTACAAAAAATCTCATGTTTTAGCTTTTATTTACAGGTTTTCTAAACCTTATCTTGGCGTTTTTTTCATTAATGTAACTTAACATTAATGTATTTCATTAATCCAAGCTCTCAAATGAAACATTTTGTTTGTCTTGAAAACTTAATGATAAGGCCAACCTTTACTTTTAGAGTGTCTAAGAATTTATATAAAATCCTGCGCAAATGAACCCTATTTTAGTGACATTCATAAAATCTAAAACAAACCTTAAGAAGGTGAATTTATCCTGAGATTGAGTGCGCTTTTTATTCTTGATTTGCGAATGATGATTCATTTTTGATTTCAGTAGGTTTTTCTAGCCTTGTTTTATAAAAGCAGATTCAATCTCTTTTTAAAAGGATTGTTTATCAAGCGTAATGCGAACCGCGCGTTTTAACATTGTTTCAAGATAGCATGGTTTATTTGCTAAACATTTATAGACCGTGTTGGGTATTATGATGAAGGTTGTTGCTGACATTAAAATAAACATTACACGGGTATCTGAGTTTATGTCTTTCTGTATTTTCCTGGAAATCTGTCGTTTAACAAATTCGATTACGAAAAGTACAATGCCATACATTTTTAAATTACTTGTAAAGGTGTATCTTTATGCATATTATGTCTATCTCTATTTTTGACGAAACAAAAATGAGATATTTTTTTTATAATATTTCATTTAAGATTAATTCATCAAGGTTTTTCTATTATAATTTTGAAATCCATACTCAAGCGTAAGGCATTAATACATTTATGAACTATTGAACCTTCATACTAAACCTTCATTTATTGGTTTATTATAAGAATAGTAAAGCAAACACATTATTTTATTAGATTTTGAAATCTTCACTCAGGCTTAAGTCATTAATACATTTATAAACTATTGAACCTTCATACTAAATCTTCATTTATTGGTTTACTATAAGAATAGTAAATCAGACATATTATTTTATTTGATTTTGAAATCCTCACTCAGGCTTAATTGTATTCATACATTTATAAACTATTGAACCTTCATACTAAACCTTCATTTATTGGTTTATTATAAGAATAGTAAAGCAAACATATTATTTTATTAGATTTTGATATCCTCACTTAGGCTTAAGTCATTAATACATTTATAAGCAATTGAACCTTCGTACTAAACCTTCATTTATTGGTATACTATAAGTATAGTAAATAATTGTGCAAAAAGAATTACTTTATTATCATGTTCTATTTTTGCTACTATTTTTGTTCTTAATGAGAAGAAAAACTATCTTTTTGCCAATTCGGTCCGAACATATTTTATTTGTTTTATTTTTAATCTCTATTTCTAACGAAATCAAATGAGACATTATTATTCTTTCATAGTATTTTATTTAAGATTATATCATCACTTCTTTTTAATTATTTTCATTATTATATTTCGAAATCCCCCTTCAGGTGAGACTCATGAATACATTTATAAACTATTAATGTATACGAAAGCAATAAAAAAAATAATAAGTGCGTAAAAAAATTACTTTAACATGATTTATTTGAATTACTATTTCTGTTCCTAATGTGCAGAAAAGCTGTTCTGTAGTAAAGTCACTTCAAACATATTTTATTTGTTATGTAAGACATTTTATTCAAGGTTCTCTTTTCAAGTTATTTTTTAAATAATTTACATAAAACATACATCTACAGCTGTACTGCTTTGTAGATTTAATATACAAAAATCCATTACGAAATGCAAATTTGAGGTGGTGAAAGTTATTTCTAAGATCAAAACATAAACATTTCTTTCATCTCATTAGAGATTTTCTAAGAAAATTTTCAAGTGCAATCCCGTTGAAGCACTTTTGATCATGGAATGAATAAAATACAGCAAATGTTTATTTGGAATGTGCCAAAGGAATAAATACAATTGATTTTTTAATAATAAATATATAAAACCGTATTTTAGAACTTTATTTTACTTTATTTTACTTTTGTTTTACTTTATTTACTTTTATTTTACTCTATTTACTTTTATTTTACTTTATTTACTTTTTTTTACTTTATTTACTTTTTTTTACTTTATTTACTTTTATTTTACTTTATTTACTTTTATTTTACTTCATTTTACTATTTTATTATTTTACTTTTGTGCTCTGTTTAATACTTGCAAAAATATGACAACAGTTGAGATGCTCGATATCAATAAAAGCTAAATCAACTTTTTTTTTTCAAAATTAATACTTTTCAGTTCTTTTTTCTAATTCCTAAAAGATTGCATCAACACTGTTAGAAATTTCTCTGTAAACATAACAATTTATTTATTTGTTACTTCATCATATTTAACCAAAACAGTCAAATAACTATAAAAAAAAGATGATATTTCATACTGTTGTATGTGAGAAGAATGATTTATTGATTGTTTCTACCTAAGACGGTTTAACAACCAGAATGTATCCTGGCCAACTTGGCAAATCTTATGTAACTATTTGTTTTGTATCGTGCCGTCGGATTTATACAGTAACTGAGAGATAGAATTGGTCAAAACATGATTGGCTGAACAAAGCACCCACAGAGATCTTTTTTTTTTTTCATGGTTTTGAAACTATTTAAAAAATGATTACAAATTTGTACACGAATTTCCTTCGGTAAAAGTTTTTGAATGCAAAAGTTTGTTAAAACACTTTGTGAATAAAAAAAATTCTTACCTGGTGCACAGAGGCATGATCCATTCTGTAAGAGTGTTCCATTATTTTCACATTTGAAACTTGCTGTAAGAATAATCGAGCAAAATATTTAATATTTTATTTACATTTTATTTCAACAATTAATGTTTTTCAAAGGAGAGACACTATAATTTTTTTTAGATCGGTTCATTATTCATTGGCATGCATACGTCATATTCGAAAATATTTTCTTTCTCTGAACTAAAGGTCACATTAATTATAAATATACTAGGTGTTTTATAATCTTTTAGAATTCGTGTAGAAACTGAAGTCAGAAAAGCTTTCACATTGAATGTAACAAATTAAAATAGAAGGAAAAATCAAATTTTAAGAATTAAATCAAATCAAATTTTAAGTGAGGAAAATTTCCTAAGTGCCTAGACAATGTAAAACAGTAAAAACCATGTTGATTACTTGTGTAAACTTGGAGATATGGGATTGGTCTTTCAGTTTCTATCATTTTCCTCAGGCAGTCAAACAAATTTAATGTTCTCAGTCCCGCCTTTCTCAGTAGTGGTTACTTAGATTTTGATAATTTTCTTACTTGCTTAAGCATTAATTTTGGACCTCTTATGTGTTCTGTTCTTGAATTTAGTTTTAAAAGAAAGTATGTATTAATGTTGGTTATTACGAATTTCCCTGTATATGGCATTTTCATTTTACGCGCATATATGGATAGAATACATATTTGTACATGTTAAGCTGTGCTTTCATAAAGCAGTGTTTTTTTATCAACTCATGGACTCTAAACATCTAATATTTTTATATTTCAAAAGCATATGTAACTAGTGTAGTTTTCGTTACTTCTGGGAAAATAACCGACGACTCTGTATGGTAATGACATTACTAGTTTTAAAAAACAACAACATAATTTTGGTAAATAAGGCCAAAATATATTCTATTTAAGTCATTCATTTGGTAACGGTTTACCAGAAATACTTGTTTTCAAAATTTTGGTTCTTATCACCGCAAATTTAGTAAAAAATAGGAATCCAAAAAGCAAATTTAACCAAACTGTGGCCCGCCGGAAGGTTTTATCCGGCCCGCGGATAGAATTCTAACTTGCCGATCCGTAGCGAATATAAACAAGTTACATTTTACAACCATTATTTTGTCTACTTTGTTTAAAGCTATTTTTTCTTCTTTCTTTNGTTGAAAAATTCTTACCTGGTGCACAGAGGCATGTTCCATTCTGTAAGAGTGTTCCATTATTTTCACATTTGAAACTTGCTGTAAGAATAATCGAGTAAAATATTTAATATTTTATTTACATTTTATTTCAACAATTAATGTTTTTCAATGGAGAGACACTATAATTTTTTTTTAGATCGGTTCATTATTCATTGGCATGCATATGTCATATTCGAAAATATTTTCTTTCTCTAAACTAAAGGTCACATTAATTATAAATATACTAGGCGTTTTATAATCTTTCAGAATTCGTGTAGAAACTAAAGTCAGAAAAGGTTTCACATTAAATGTAACAAATTAAAATAGAAAGAAAAATCAAATTTTAAGAATTAAATCAAATCAAATATTAGGTGAGGAAAATTTCTTAGGTAGGAGAGAGTGGGGTCAATTGTAAAATTTTTTACTTAACTATTTTTAACTAACAAAAACTACAATATATTATTAGTATTAATTGACAGACGAGTTAAGTAGACTATCCTCTACCAGAAAAAAAATACCTTATTTTAAATGCTATTATATTAGTTATTAACAATTTTTGACAGTCGTGCACTTGTTACAATTGTCCCCACTTACGAGGTCAATTGTAACGGTTCATAAATTCAACTATCACATAGTTAATTATACATATTATCATATCTGTGATATTTTTTTAATTGATCAATATAGTAGTGATATTTTAGGAGTAAAAATAATAATGAGCAGAGACCTAAAGAGTAAAACTTTTAACTTCAAGGGGTTAAAAATTTTAATTTATGCTGTGAAAGGTGACAAATAAAATAATGTAATGTAATAAACAACATGAAATAATGTAATAAACAACATAATATAAATGATATAGGAAACTATTGGTAGTTCTTAAAGAGTTAAGTAATGGTTTGTTAACATAAGATTATTTATTTCAGATGTTACAATCGTCCCTTCACTTATTGTTACAATCGTCCCCAAGACGCCATTTTCAGCTTCATTTGTTAAAAAGAATGCTAGTAAATTAACAAAACTAATATTTTTTTTTGAAATGTTAATTTTGGTGTCCACTTACATATTCGGTTAATAATTTTTGTTTGTTTAAACAAAATTACTTTGTTACAATATAATATTCTAATACGAAAAAAAGTACTTACGTAGCGTGAAATTATCTTTTGTGATGTAACTCTTTCAAAAGTACATAATAATGGTTGCCAGCAGGGGTGTACATGTAGATTTATTAAATACACCTTGTGCGCCACCTTGGAACCAAATCTAGAACCCGACACTCGAAATTTTTGCTCTGTTACAATCGTACCCTGTTACAATTGACCCCACTCTCCCCTAGACAATGTAAAACAACAAAACCCATGTTGATTACTTGTGTAGACTTGGAGATATCGGATTGGTCTTTCAGCTTCCATCATTTTCCTCAGGCAATCAAACAAATTTAATGCTCTCAGTCCCGCCTTTCTCAGTAGTGGTTCCTTAGATTTTGATAATTTTTTTACTTTCTTAAGCATTAATTTTGGACCTCTTATGTGTTCTCTTTTTGAATTCAGTTTTAAAAGAAAGTATATATTAATGTTGGTTATTACGAATTTCATTTTACGCGCATATATGGATAGAATACATATTTGTACATGTTAAGCTGTGCTTTTATAAAACAGTGTTTTTTTATCAACTCATGGACTCTGAGCATCTAATATTTTTATATTTCAAAAGCATATGTAACTAGTGTAGTTTTCGTTACTTCTGGGAAAATAACCGACGACTCTGTATGGTAATGACATCACTAGTTTAAAAAAACAACAACATAATTTTAGTAAATAAGGCCAAAATGTACTCTATTTAAGTCATTCATTTGGTAACGGTTTACCAGAAATTCTTATTTTCCAAATTTTGGTTCTTATCACCGCAAATTTAGTAAAAAATAAGAATCCGAAAAGTAAATTTGACCAAAGAAATGCTTTTTTCCGCCATGCTCTAAGGCAGGGATGGGCAAACTACGGCTCGCTGGCCAACTGTGGCCCGCCGGAAGGTTTTATCCGGCCCGCGGATAGAATTCTAACTTGCCGATCCGTAGCGAATATAAACAAGTTACATTTTACAGCCATTATTTTGTTTACCTTGTTGAAAGCTATTTTTTCTTCTTTCTTTTTAAACAAAGTACTGATGATCTTTTTACTTTCTCTATTGATGGGATTGATTGAAATAGTTAGCACAGACAGCTTCAATTGGTGAAATTTTGAACGCAGAAGTTCTTTATAGAATAGCTCCAACTAATGTTTTTCTTTCTCGAGGATCAGACATATGAAATCTAACATAGGTGAATTATGCTTCACATGTGGCAGACAGCGCATTTTAAGCTCCAACGAGCCGGTGCGAGTTCTAACATTATTTATTGAGTATGTAAAGATCGCACATTAGTGTTGTTTCTAAAGATGTTTGAGTTTTGCAAATCATTACCAAAAGATAGTTTCCAAAATTTAATATCTCATGCCCAGAAAATCAGTGTAATGTTTGCTTCATCTTATATATGTGAACAAGTGTTTTCAACTATGAACCTTAGAAAAAATCATTTCAGAAGTAGACTAACAGAAAACCATTTAACATCGTTCCTTAAAATAAGCACATCTCACTTCGAACCTCAATATAAGGAGCTTTTAAAAATGAAATAGCAATTTCATTCATCTCATTAAATATTTGAATTAAAACTTGTATATCATTTTTTTATTATTTTTATTTTACAAGTTTCTACTCGGTCCACCAAACTTTTTTTCCCCCGATTTTTGGCCCTCGACTAAAAAAGTTCGCCCATCCCTGCTCTAAGGTATCATGACAAAATTACCAAATTATACCACATTTACCATATTACATTCTTTATTTTTTTATTTCTTTATAACCGTCGTTCAACAACCGACCCTATTTTTGAGTTTGTTTACGACCAATAATGTTCAACTACGTTGCCTTGTCATTTTGAACCCAATCCAGAAGACAAGGGAACTCCTGGATCAAGTATTGGGAGAAATTTGCCACTTTTTGAGGGAACTAACCCGCATTTGCGTTACATGGAGAAGAAGACCTCGAGAACCTTCAACGGTTAACCTGTTGGCAAGGGAACTCTAACCCATGATCCGTCAACCATTGAGGATATTTCACGTCAGCACAGTGGTCGGTGCAAGCCGGATGCGGAATTCGTATTGACCAGCCATCGCCGGGATTGAATCATGGTTCACCTCATTGGAAGGCAAACGCTCTATCACCTGAGAAATCCCATCTCACATTGTTCATTTTACAAAAAAATATTACCAAAGCGTTTCGGGAAAGATTACCGATAAATTCAGTAAATTGCGATTTTCTTTTTCTCAACGTGGATAGCAACCCTATATTCTATAGTAATAATCATCTTCTTGATATAATTAACCAAATTTCTTAATTTTTCGGTTGAATTTCGTAACACCCCGTATATGTCAGAAACTTCCTGTCCAAAATGAAAGAAAAAAAGCATGCACATTAGAGGTGGCAAATTAATATTCAAACGAGAAATAAGCAAACGCGCTTTCCACATCGGGCAAATCATTTGTGAGATGGAAAAATTTTGAGAAGATGGGACATTTTTTTTAACCAGTTTAATTTCCTATATAAAATATTTATATCCAAAATAATTCTCATAGTCACCCTCCAAATATTCTCCTTTACTTCTGGCAATCAAACAAGTTTCGATGTTTCCAGTCAGGTCTTCCTCAGTTGAAATTCTTCAGTTTTTGACAAAGTTTTTTTTCTCACTTGTTCATTAAAATGTGTATAATCTTTGGATTTGATTTTCAAAAAGTATTCTATTAATATATATCAAGACTAGTTTTTATGGAACATCCTATGTAGCAGGAATATAAAGATGATTGTAGCAACTTAAACTTTCAACAAATAGTCCGATTTGAAAGAGCATGTTAAGAATATGACAAGAAAGTATTAAAATTGATTGTTAGGTTCATATAAGTTACGCGAAATAAAACAATCAGAGGGGTAAAGTTTATAAATTAGTCAACTTACAAACGCATTCGCCATTTTTTTCTTCATATCCAAAACAACAACGTTTGACGACATCAATTTCTTCTTTCACTATTTGTTTGTTTGAAATTCCATACATCGTTCTAAAATTTAAAAAATGAAGATCTATATTAAACACGTACGTTTATTGGGCTGTTTAAAATACAGATGTTATTGCTTATTAAAAAAAATACGACTTTTTGAAACTTGATTTTTCAGGAACATTTCGGCCGATTTTGCTCCAATTGTTTTTTTTATTTTGCCATTATCAAATTGCATTTTTTAAACTGACGTAAAAAATTGTATACCTTAGAATTTAAATTTTTTCGACTATTATTATACAAAGCAATAAAAAAGAAGAAATTTTTATTAAAAGTCATTTTTTGCCTGGAATTATCTTTGGACAAATGAATTTTAAAATTAAATGCAAAAATTTTTCAATTTGCTTGAAAAGTTCTCTAGATATGGTAAAAATACCAAAAAATAAAATAAATTGACAATAAGGAATCTAAACATTGAACTGCTCTCTTAAACAAACTATATAATCATATATTCCAGATTGCAGATACCCCCTTTATTTTGAGGGTCACTAAACAGAATCCGTTCTAAAAAACGGAATGATTATTCAGAGAAAGTATATTTTTTCATGCTTCGTAACTTAAATAGCTCCTGCGCAAATTAATTTGAAATATTAAACGTCACCCCCACGAACCATTAAGATTGAGTCCTAGAACGTGAATACCCTATTAATACATCAAAATTTATTCAAGGTGGTCCGTTTTTATTTTTATTAATTAATTAATTAATTAATTTGTTTATTTTGCGCACTGTATTAAGCGCAAAATAATACAGAAAACACGCTAATGATAACAAAGACATTTGACCCAAAAAATGTATTTACACTCGCTATAAATTAATCTTAATTGTTGAAGTGCCTAAGTTAAAATTATCTAATTACTTAATGCACACGATAGTTGAAGTTGTGAATTCAGACATAAAAACGTAGCTTTCTTTCACTAAATGAACATATCGTTTCTATTTGACGGATTTGCATTCCTGATCGATATTACGTTACTATGAAGATCATTAGTATGTTACACTTTTAAAGAAAAATCTACTAAATTTACGGGGAAAAAACTGTCAGCTGTTATACCAATATAAAACCGTTAATTTCGCAGATAAATATTTTTCATTCAAAAACTGACTCTGTTATTTTGCGATCACTGTTATTTTAAATGAAAGTTCTGCAAAATAGCTGTGTCATCATTGTGGTCAATTCAAGTTCAGAGTATGATTTATACGACGCTGAGATTCGAACCTGACCTCCTCAAAAGTCTTTTGAGCTACCACAGCTCTCGTATCACAGTAAAAAGAAAACTGTTTTTATCTATAAAGTCTTATTGAAATAATATTTCAATGTAAAAACGTTTGAAATTATATTGGCTTAACCGTATAAAAATGTCTGGCAACTTAACTAACCAAAAAATTATATCTAAGGAAGTATAATAATCAGGTAGAATATCAATTTGACAATAAAATCGGATGTCCGTTTTATTTATGCGATGTTTGAAACCATAAAATAATTGCTGAAAAGCGATGAGCTAGTATAAAAAATAATAGTAAAGGAAAAGGTCGAGACAACAAGCAATGCTGCAAGGCAAAAAACTAGATTTGAACTAATTGTTTTAATCTGTTTATGATTAGAATGAAAAAAAGAGAAAACTGTTTTGTCAACAAAATAGGTTTAAACTGTCAGATATACAGGGAAAATCTGTAAAAAGAGCAAGAATGTTTATAGTACGCTAAGTTTTCTTTTAGCAGTTTTTTTCCCCGTGAATAATATGTTTTTCTTCCGTAGAATTAGGAGGTTTTTTGATGTCTGTAATTTGTATAAATTATTTTATAAGTAACGATGTTTATTTAGGTATATTTTATCAAAAAATTGCTCGTTGCTAACCATATTACATTGATCTAATCAGATATAACTTCGAATTGCAATATGCTTTTATAATAGACAGAGGTTGGACACAATTATGGAAAGACTTCTATACTAACTATATGTAAACTTTCTTTCCTTAAGAAGCTATAGTTTTGAAAGATTTTACATGGCAAAACTGTTGGCACAGTATTAAAGATCGCGTTTGAAGCTTTCAGAAATGGTGTCATTTTTACCAATTCAAAGTTGGGATCGACCGAAATGAAAAGAGGAAACTAATAACTTCTTTCTAGCTTTAATACCCGCAACAACGGGGATAGCCTGTTTGGTAGGGAGTTTGGCCCATATCCAGGAGGTCGCGAGCTCCAACCCCGCCGGCCGAAGAAAACCTGTGTAGTAAATGGTGACTGGTTCACTTTGAATCTGTCTGGTCACAAAGTTCTCCTTGTTCCCATAACAAATTAATACCTCTGGAGGGCCGGAATAGCCTGGTTGGTAGGACACTGGGCCCACCCATGTCCAAGAGTTCGTGGGTTCGATCCCCGCCTGCCGAAGACTCCCCGTGTAGTAAATGGTTACTGATGAGCGTTAAATCTTTCGAGTCACAAAGTCCTCCAAGTTCCCACAACAAATCAATACCTCTGGGGGTACTGATCCAGGAGTTTCCTTGTCTTCAGGATTGGCTCAAAAATTACAAGGCTACGGAGCTCAGCATTAGTAGTCGTAAACCCAAAATTGGATTGACAACGACTTCAACGACGGATATAAAAAAATAAAAAAGGATATAAAGCACCTCTGGGGGTTCTGAGATTGATCGTTCTATGGTTCAGGTCAAAAAATACGATCTGTGAATGAATAAATGGATGTATGAATGGACCTGCCCTATAAACGGGCTGTGACGAATGTGTGGCTGACATCGTATTATTCGCCATAGATGGCAACACTGGAAGTGCACCTTCTACCTTAAATTCGTTTGGTTTCACCAGGCAAGCTTACTGGTATTGGTAAATGGCATTAGAAACAACAACAACATACCATACAACTTTGAAATCATTCTACCGGATTGCAATATTTAGATGAGAATACTTCTTTAATGATCGTTGTTTTGAAAAAGGAAATGAGTTAAAAAAAATTCCAACACTCATTTTGTTCGATACAAATTTTGCGTGAGTAAAAAGAGCGCCGTTCCTAAAAGCTACAAGCAATATCTTTCAAATTTTGTCAACAGTTTTGCTATGTATAATCTTCCGAAACATTTGCTGCAGAAAAATTATTTACATAGAGTTAGGGTTTCCATAACCAATGCACACTTAAGAATAAAAAATGTAATCAGGGTATGTGCTACATTTTAGATTTTCAAATTCATTACTTTCCGTGACTCATTTCAAGAAATTTTTATGATTTAACGAAGTTACTATTTTCTCTGACGAACACAAAACAATAAATTTTAAAAGCTTTATAATAACATTAATTGAAATAATTGGTATAACCAAGAGCGTTATACTCTGCGTCTTCATTTTTACAGATTTTAAACTAAAAAAAACAGAGTGAAGAAAGAGTTGAAGCAATAAAATAGCTGGAAAAAAAATACAAAAGCATATAATATTTTTTTTCTTTTTCTCCGCAGAATTATATTTTAAAGATACCTTTCTTCTGTATCGGATTGGAAAGAAATACTCCTGATTTTTCTGTTCTCATTTCGGAATTTTAATCACCAATAACTGGCTTGCTTCAGCTAGAATTTTGAATTAATAAAATGAAAAAAATAAATAATAACAAAAATTCTGAAATCACAGAAATTTAAAAGATAATTTGCTTTAGAAAGGATGCCTTTTCTTTCTTTTCTTGAAAAAACACCATAATTTTTAAAGAACACGATAAAAATATTTTATATTTTAATAAAATATGATTGTGAGTGGGGATTTTATTACAAATTCAGATATTCGGTACACCATAAAATTGGGGGGGGGGGTTCTATTTAAAAAATTAAACTTTTGGGTGACCTAAATCCATGACTTTCCATGATTTTTTTGATAGTTAAAATCATGACATTTCATGAAAAATTTTGTTCAATACCGAAATCCTTGACTTTCCATGATTTTTCATGACTTTTCAGGTGCGCTAATACCCCGGTGTAATGTATAAAAAAATATCCATTCTCGTGTAAATGTAAATGTTTCTTACCTGTAAACCGAACATCTTGGAGGAATGTTCAAACACCATGTTGTTGTTCTTATTTGATAAGGGCGAGAGTAAGTAATCCAAAGAGTCTTGTTATGTCTGAAATTCCACAAGATGAAAAGTTATAATATTTTTTTTCAAGAACTAATTACAATAATTTTTTGTCTGATAAAGGAAAGAATGAATTGAGTAGGATATTTAAATTATTTCTCGTTCATTTATTTCATTAGAATTTTTTATTTTTTTTACAGAAATACAGCATAACTGGAAATTATGATTCCTACTTTAAAACGTAAATCTTTGTCACTTTATTCAATATCCCGGATTTGCTTATTTTTTATTTCCTTTAAAAGAAAATAAGAGTGATTTTATATCTAAGTATTGCGCCACAAAATTAATTCATTATAAAAACTGCTGTTATCACAAATTATTATGTCTATTATTTAGATTTTAAATGACGTTGAAAAAATCAAACGCAACATTTTACAATTTTAAATTTATTTCCCTTCAGTCATTCATTTCAAATTTAATTCATGGAGAAAATAACCCATAAATTGAGCATAGTTTTTATAAAGTAATTTGCCTCAAAATATAAAACTTAGATGTCAAAAGTCGACGAACTAGGCGTTTTGAAAAAAATTGAAATCGTGTTTTTGTTATTGTTTGATAGTTAATACGATATTATAAGAATTTTGTTATATCTAAATGTAGTACAAGAAAAATAATTACATTGTAAGCAATTATTATTTTCTGAAATGATTCCAAATATTTTTATTTTCTAAATGATTTATGAAAAAATTCAGGAAGAATATTTTGCAAAAATTTTACTTTTACTTTATTGTGAAAAAAACCCTGATTCTTTTAACATGACTCATAATAAATATTTTATTTCAAAGTGTAAAGCTGAAATTTTTAACAAGTTACAAAAACTTATGCTTTTGATTTTGATTGATAAGAAAGATATTAAAGATATAGATCCAAAACTTGGTGCTGTATCGAAATAATGCACAAAAGCAATTGCATTAAAAAAATTATTATTTTCAGAAATGATTATAACTATTTTCCTTTTCTAAATGATATATGAAAAAGGTCAGAGAGAATATTTTTCAAATTTTATCCTTACTTCATTTTATTGTAAAAAAAATCTCATTTATTTACATGAATCATAATAAATTTTTGTTTCAAAGTGTAAAACTAAAATTTCAATCAAGTTACTTAAAAAAATCACACTTTTGTTTTTGGTTGATAAGGAAGATAATAATGATATAGATTCAAAGAGTCTTGTTTTATCTAAATATTCCTCGACAAAAACAAATACATTATAAGAAAAATTATAAATATTTTTTGTTTTCAAAATAGTTTATGAAAAAAGTAAGGGGAAAGATCTGGGAAATTTTTATCAATATTTTATTATGAAATAAAAACTACTCATCTATTTATTAACATAACTCCTAATCAAATTTTCAGTTTCAAAGTGTAAAACTGAAATTTAAATCAAGTTACTGAAAAATCGCATCTTCGCTATTGGTTGATAAAGAAGATATTAAAGATATTGATCTAAAACGTCTTGCTGTATCTAAATATTGCCCGAGAAAAACAAATACATTATAAATAATATACTATTTTCAGAAATGACTAAAATCTTATTTATTTTCTAAATCATACATGCAAAAAGCCAGGGAGAGAATTTTAAAAATTTTATCTTAACTTCATTTTATCATAATAAAAACAAATTTATTAGCACGACTCATAATAAAAATTTTGTTTCAAATTGTAAAACAAAAATTTTAATCAAGTTACTAAAAAAATCACATTATTTTCTTTGGTTGACAAGGAGGATAATAAAGATATAGTACAGATCATAAGAAGCATATTTTTATTTTCTAAACAATGAATGAAAGAAGTCAGAGAGTCAGTTTTTTCCTTACCTCATTTTATTATGAAAAAAATTCATAACCATGACTTATAATCAAGTTTTCTGTTTCACAGTGTAAAACTAAAATTTTTATGAAGTTACTCAAAAAAATCACGCTTTCACTTTTGGTTGATAAGGAAGATAATAAAGATGTAAATTCAAATACTCTTATTGTATCTAAATATTGCAAGAAAATAGCTATTACATAATAAAAATGATTTTAAATATTCTTATTTTCTAAGTGATAGATGAAAAATGTCAAAGAGAATATTTTGAAAATTTTATCTTTCTTCCTTTTATTATAAAGCAATTACTCATGGCTTTAGTATGACTCATAATAACATTTTCTACTTTAAATTGTGAAGTTAAAATGTTCATTTAGTTTAACTCAACAAATAGAATAAATCATACACCTTAAGTGCAACATCATTTAGTTTTAATTATTATCTGCTTTTTAATTATCATATCCTTTTTAAATATTATTTGAATTGAAACTCTTAAAAGCTTTATTATTGACTTTTTCTATTACTGAGTTTTAATGACCTTTTTTACTATTGATCTTTTAAGCATTAATAAATAAAATGCAATATTTATAATGAAGATACTAGATTTTTATAGTCCAACAAATAAAATCTTTTAAACTACTTTCTTTAAAAAGTATTGGTTATAAAAATTGTAAAATATTTCTTCTCGTAAACTTTATAGTTAAAAAACCTTTTAGTCTAAGATACAAAATTAAAGTATCTTTTTCTTATAAGATTTTTTTTCTTCCTCTGAGAGATTAAGAAAGTTATGAGTATCTTTAAAGAATCAAAAAATTTTCCCTAGTTTATTTCACTTTTTACTTTCTAATATGTAAAAAGAATTCTTATAAATTTGTCAAAGAGAGAATGTATCAATTTAGTTAACAAAATAATTTTAAAAGAAAAGCTATTAAATAAATAAAATAAATTTAAACTCTCACTTAATTAAGCAGAATTAATATAATTTCAGATAAGAACCATATGTATAATACAAAAAAGTTAATACTACTTGTATTAAAATCACGAGTAAACCAATCGAATTGCGTGTTGCTAAAGAGTGCATTAACGAAAAAAATTTCTTATGAGCTAAAATATAAATATTATTTGAGTTTAGTGACAATGATAAATGCCTTATTTAAAATTTTGCGATTTAACATTTTTGTCGTAATGCTGGGTTTGTACTCCTAGCAGTCAAACCTATCTAATCTTGTGTATGGTATATGAAATGTTCCACTACTATTAAAGTTCGTATTTATATTGTTTGAAATCTTGTTAGAAGATAAGGCAACAAACAAATACCGATTCTATTCATGAGAATAGTAGTAACACAGTAAATCAGTCATTATAGAACAGTTTGCATTTATTTTGATTAAAATCTTGTAAGAAGATAAGGCAACAAACAAATACCGATTCTATTCATGAGAATAGTAGTAACACAGTGACTCAGTCATTACAGAACAGTTTGCATTTATTTTGATTAAAATCTTGTAAGAAGATAAGGCAATAAGCAAATACCGATAATATACTTGAGAATAGTAGTAACATAAAGAAACCGCCACCATGGAATAGTTTATATGTCAGCATTTATTGTGGTTCTAGCATACATAAAGTTAATCTACTTTGACTTTAAGCAATTCTGCTCTATATCGATTTATTCTGAAGTGGGATTTAGTAAGATTCAATACTATCTTATGTACAGTGTGCAAAAAAAAGGGAAAAAAAAAGGATCACCCTGAATAACTTTTGATCTAATGATTGGATTTTCACGGTTTAGGATTCATTCTTAATGGTTCGAGAGGGTGACCTCAAATACGCCAATTAATTAATGCAGACGATACTTTAAGTTACAAAATCAGACACAAGAACGTACTTTCTCTCAATAAATATACCTTTTTTTTTCTCGATGAATTCAGATTTCTGACCCCTAAGATATAGGGGGTAACAGTAATCAGGAAAATGTGGTCTCCATAGTTCGGCCAGGAGAGCGATCCAAAGTTTGGACCCCTTAATGATAATTTTTACTTTTTGCATACTTCACCATATCTCAAGAAATTTTGAAGCTAATTAAAAAAAAATTGCACCCAATTATATATATCGTTTATCAAATGATAATTCCATTAAAAAAATCATTTTTGTAAATATTTAATATTTTTTATTATTCCTATTATTAACTTTCGAAAAATTTTGAATTGTATGGCTTATAATTTTTTGCGTCATTTTAAAGTATGTAATTTTACATAGCAAAATACAAAAATTTGAGCGAAATCGGCTGAATAGTTCCTGAGAAATTGAATTTTAAAGAAGTAGTATATTTGAAATTCAACTTCTCGGAAACTATTCAGCCAATTTTGCTCAAATTTTGCATTTTTCCATGTAAATTTACATAATTTGATCTGACGTAGAAATTACCTTATAATTAAATTTTTTTTTCGAATATTATTAAGTAAAATAATAAATATTTACAAAAGTTTGTTGTTTGCATGGAATTACTTTTGAATAAGCGAATTTGCAATTGTATGCAAAAATTTTTAGTTCTCTTAATAAGTTTCTGAGATTTGGCGAAAAATACAAAAAGTAAAAAATAGCATTGAGGGTTCCAAACTTTGGATCGCTCTCCTGCTTTCAGCACCTTGCTTTCCAGAATTCGTTGAAAAAAAGGTATGCTTATTTAGAGAAATTACGCTTTATCGCCTGATTTCGTAGCTTAAAATATCATCTGCACTAATTAATTATCATATTTGTGGTCACACCCTTGAACCATAATAAATGAATCCTAAAGCGTGGAGATCCGATTTTTAGATCAAAAGTTATTTAGGGTGGCCCATACATAGCCAGAATTTGAGTGAGCATATGAAACTATCACAAAGCATGCGGACAATAGCACAAATGTTTAACTTTAAAAAGTAATGTAAATATTATATAGAATAAACGATTTTTGTGCTCCTATAGAAAAAAAAGACATTACTTTCAGAATTGCTCACGTAGATTTTTATTTGTTTTTGTACGCTTCCTTATAAAATTTACAAACACGCAATGATAGTTATGTTTTTAAGTAGTTAGAAAAGACTATACTTAACCGTGTTGAGGTTTCTAGCTGCTAGAAGTGATGATTTAGCCTTTATTAACTACTCAAATTTAGTCTTTGTATTATCTCTTTACATCTTTTTCCATCATCTTTCTCACATCTCAAATTATTAAGACATTTTGTCGTTTCGTCAAACAAATTTTTCGCAGCTGGCATTAGGTTAATGAAGCCTTGTTGCTTTTAGATTGAAATTATGCTGTTATTGTAGTATAATACCATGTTTGTTCGTAAGGTAGTTTGATTATGAATACCTTATCTAACATGGCAATCATGCGTGAGTTTCATCACCATTTCATAATCTATAGTAATGAAACTGTAGTGTGTCTACCACTACAGAAGTATAATTCCAATTCACTGGAATATAAGGCATGTTAATTTGATTCTATGGCGGGGTAACTTTTTATAAATGATGGTTGACATTGGCGATAGCTACCATCCCCTCATTGGTGACCCGGACGTGATGTGAACATGTCTACCTTGACAGAAACTCCCACTTCCATATGAACACACCTATCTTGGCAGTAACGCCCACTTCAAACTGAACACACCTACTTCGATTGATGGTCCACATTGAACAGTTGACTTGCTACTTGTGACTGCGACTTTATCTATCTCCTCGCTCTGTTGCTACTCAGCCTCGATCATACACAACGTTGGCCTGTATTCACTCGACTGCTAAAGTCGGCACAGGAACGACCACGACCGTGAACTTAATACAGCTCTCACAATAAGCACTCAAAATTACGTTGATCTTAATACAGCTCTCTCGGCTTTGCACAAAACAGCAAGGAATCAACTAGCGGTATTCATTCATCGAATTCTATCACAGATATAATTCTAGTGGGGGAGTACTGAAGTGTATCTACCACTACAGAAATATAATTAAAATTCACTAGTATATAAGGCATGATAACTTGATTCTTTTTTTTTAATGGCGGGCACTTGGAACTATTGTCCATTGGCCACAGAAAGTGCCAGAACTGCTAACTCTCTTTTCGTTACCCAGTGGGCACCTGTGGCGAAGCGTCACCACGTCACATTACCACAACCCGTTTATAGGGCGGGTCACATTTACACACAAAGGAGAGAGGACATAGAACACAGATAGAGACAAAGAAACATCCATGCCTTGCCCGGGATTCGAACCCAGAACCTTTCTGATGCAAGGACAGTTCCCTGCCCCCTACACTGGCCGGTCGGCTAACTTGATTCCATGGAGGGGTACCTTTTCATAGATGAAGGTTGACATTGCCGCAAAACTATACCAACTAGAAACACTGCTTGTTGAATTCTGCGACTTTTGAAATGGAGGCGATACTTACTCAGAACTGTTAATACAGACTCTATTTTTAACATAATTTTGTGACGCGAGACTAGACTGTTCTACCGCTATATTTACAGTATTTCTCGGTACTTATAGTATTTTGCAGTATTTCTTAGAGCAATCACAGTATACTTACTTTTGTTCTTTAGTACACACATTTGGACCGCTAAGTGCTCCTACTGATGCAACAAAATATAAAACACAAAGTGTAGGCCAGACTCCAATAACAACACTCCGCATAACCTATGTAAAAATTTTGCTTATGAAAAAGTTTATTTTAAACAAAAAGAAAATAATGTCATTAATAAAATGGTAAAGGAAAACATTTATAAACACTTATTAGATAATACAAACATACCTATTGTTTCAAACAAATTATGTGGTATATTTTCACATTTATAAACGGCAAACGCTCTTAAAAAAGCAATGGATCTGTTAAATTTATAACAAAGATACAACGTAATTGTGTAAGGAAACATGTCATATCGAACTCTGTCAAGTCCATAAAATGAATTTTTTTCAGAAATGAATAACACTAAACACTTTTAGCACTAAAAAACAATTGAAAGTCTTGGTTTCGATAGATATTTCATTAAAATTTATGAAATTCTTGTCTCTATTTTAACACCGCATTGAATGTGAGGTGGAAATTGCTTGTTTCCATCTCGAAAAACGTCATGCTATTTAATAGAATAGCACAGTTTTGAAAGCACTATTCAATGACAATTAAGATCTAAAAAAAAATGAGCTTTAACAAAATAAATAAAAAAATAAACAAATAAGCAAAAATTAAAAAATAATAATAAAGCAATGTACGAAAGCAATAATTAAGAAAGCGGAAAAATAATAAAAATGTTCATTATTATTTTTTTGCCGTTAGAAAAATAAATTTTTGTGTCGTTCAATGTGATTCCAGGTTAAAGAGAATTTGGGTTTAGTTCTCAGTTTAGGCACACTTTTTGTTCTCATTTTTATTCATAAATTTAAAGTAGAATGAATTGAAACTAATATGAATAAAAAATCTAAACTATCACTGATTTTTTATGTTTATAGTCTGATGTTTATAATCCGAGACAAAATAGAAACACAATAATATTTGTTTTCTGTTTCAAGTCTCTATTCATGGATAAAAAATTTAATTTTTAAATATAAAACTGGAAAAATATTAAGAACTATGTTCCATATATTGATTTCAAATTTTGCGTCATAGCCTTTTGTAAACAGCACTGACCACTTTAATATGTATTTTTAAAATGATTGCATAAAATGAATGAAATAAACATAGTCGCAAATTCATGTTGAAACGAGAAAAATGCTATGAAATGCTAACGAATCTCTACAAAGAAAGAAGCACTGGGAAAATGGGTTTCTAAACATTAAACTGATTTCGTAACTAATCGTCTGAATTAATTAATTAGCTTATTTGAAGTCACCCCCTCCAACGATTAAGAATGAATCCTAAAAAATCCGATTATTAGATCAAAAGTTATTCAGGGTGATCTATTTTTTTAGAAATAATATCGGAGAAAAAAAGGTGTTCTCAAAATTGAGCAAGAATGTGTCAAAATAGTTCCGAAATAAATAATAGTGGAATTTAAAAACCCTATGTATTCAAAATTGAAATAGCAAATACTCATTATTAAGCTAGTACATGCATGTGGAGAGAGAAATGTTCGTTATCTGACAACAGAATTCGAACCCTCTGTGTTTGTTCTAACAAAGATAGTCGTATACCCCCTGCCGGAGAGGAAGCATAGCATAATGGGAGCCACAATGACACATCATGGCCTAAATTCAATGTGCTTAAAAGTTTTTCTGATTAGGGGAAATAAGTAAAAAGTGAAATTAAAACTACCGATTAAGTTATTGTGATAATATTTTAAAAACACTTTATACCAATGAAATTGGAAATAAGCGCGTCATGATCTCTAATTGAATATATAAGTTCCTTACTTTCCTTGGACTGGGATGGTGGTCTGAATATCCTGGGTTCGAATCCTGTCTGCCGCCAACGAACATCATTTTCTCGCATTTCTGCCTCTAAGTACACTCAAAACAGAGTACATGCAGTTATAATTTTGAATACATTGGGTTTTTCAAATTTTGCAATTATTTGTTGCGTAACTATTTTGACGCATTCTTGCTCAATTTTGAGAACACTTTTTTTCAATTTTGTACTATAAACATAAAAACTGCTTGATTATCCGAGAAAACGAAGATGAAAGTGGTACTACTAAAGAATACTGGACAAGGAACATCAAAATTAAAGTACTAAACTAAAAATAAAAAAAAAATACTAAGGAAAAACTACTGAGGAAAGCGGGACTGAAAAAAAAATTATGCTGAGACACCGCTTAGGTAAAGCTAAGGAAAAGAGTTCTGCCGTTGCATAGTTTTATGGCTATTATAAGAAACAAGTTCAAGTTTCATTAAGCATTCATACTGGTTTTAAAGCGTTTCTCACTAGTAATTCAACAAATTTCAGTAACACCCTAGTTTGTTCTAAATTAAAAAATATGTACACTGAAATATTAATTCATGTTGCATGCATGTTTTATTTGTAAGTATGTTTTATTTGTATGCATATTTTATTTGTACGTATGTTTCATTTGTACGCTAAATTTTATTTTATTTTCGATTAGTATTTTAGACATTACTGAGTACCTGGTGTATTGTTATCTTATTAGATAGTGCGCAATTTTGTTTACATTGAACACTTTTGAGTTTTAATAAATACAGTATGAACCCATAACAATTTTTCTATTTAAATTCATATACCTTAAGCAATATTTAAGTTTCTGTTTAAAAAGAATTTGAAGTATAACAAAAGATTTCTGGTTTGAAAGGTAATTTAAGTGTTTTTTGTTAAAATTTATTTTTTATTTATTGAATATGTCTCCATGAATAAAATAAGTATAAACAGTATCAGCCTTATTATTGAGTACCTTACATTAGAACGATTACCCTCTTTAAAAGTTATCACAAGCAGAATTTCTACTTTTTATTAAATCAAGGACTAGTAAATTGTTTAGCTCCAAAAGCTCACTTTTAAACTTTTATACATAATTTTTGAAGCAATTTGTTTCCTTTAAAAAAGTATTTTGATTGAATGTACTTAATTGATGAGAAATTGGCATATTTTTTTCCTTTTCGTGAATATGTATCTATGAATATAATAAACATAACGAATATAACCTACTTAAACAATATCAGCTTTATTATTGAATGCCTTACATTAGGGCGATAATCCTCTTTAAAATACATTACAAGCTATAAGTTCTACGTTTTAAATTAAAGACTAGCAAATTGTCTAAAAAGTTCAGTTTTAAACTTTTGCGTAACCTTTTTTCAGAAATATGTTTCTTTAAAAAAGCATTTTGCTTGAATATGCTCAATAATTGTTGAAGAAAAAATGGCATATTTAAAGATCTTTGTTAAGTTTGGAATAGACATTAAAAAACGGCGACAAAATTCACACTAATAACTCTATTTATGCTTGTCGTATTTGTCATATTAATAATTAAACTTTTATTACTTATATTAATGTCATTGTTGAGCAAACTAGGCCACAAATAAAACCATGTCCTAGTTTTTGATCACTGTCACGAACAACTAGATATTTTTTCTTTCAATTTAGCGCATTCTGGAAAATATTTTTTTTATTATTATTATAGGATAAGCTTTGTTTTGAACCGAGGTCAGCACGAACACATGATAGCTGACTTTTTCGTCAAAAATTATACGACCAGTCTTCTTAATATGTAATAATAAATCTATTTTCATATAAGTGTAAAATATAAACATGCAAGAACACGAAATATTTCGTGTGTGTGTGTAATTAAACGCTGAAAAGCATTCTGTGGGAGACTGAAAGGGAAAAAAATGATGGAATTTCTTTGCATTTTTAGTTCAAGAAAGCAAAAAAAGAGGGTATATTATTAAAGAGAATGTTTAACACAAAAAACTAATTGAATGTGAGCTTATGATAATGCTTTTTTGTTCCAAATATGTAATAAAAGCGGAAGTTTACTTAAGAAAAATCTGTTTCTTCCTGCATTCTGCTTTAAATGCTTTTTAATTTCTTTAATATCAAGTAATGAGAAGTTTTAAAGATATGGTGTGCTTTGAATTCTTCATTTTAAGTACAGAATTGTTTCGCTTGTTTCATTATTTTTTAACAAAAATTTCATTAAAGTACACAATATTATAAAATTAAAATTATAAAATTGAAATTAAATATATATATGAGAATTTCTGCACGTGGTTCTGTACTTTAATAAGAAAATTCCTTTTAACCAAGGCTTATTTATTCAATGTTTACTGAAATAAGCTTCATTGTTCTTTTAATTAAATAAATTTAAAGTTACCTCAATAAATCTTTGAAACACTCTCGCCATAATTTAAACAATTATTATGATTTTAGTTCATTTTCTTTGGGAATTTTGAAGTTATTGTTATCTAATTACAGTCAAACCTCGCTAACTCGAACCTCGATTTCACGAATTTTTCGATACCTCGAAGAAAAAAAAATTCACTTCAAATTTCCTCAATGTTAAAAAAGCCATGATTTCTCGAATTTTTTTTCTAATCCCTCGATAACTTGAATTTTTTCCCCATAAATAGTGTAGATTTTTTTTCTGAAAATAAAAAAAATATTCCAAAGAAATTTTAAGAATAGAAAACTAATTCTCATAATCAATTCAAACAAGCACTTTCTGCAGTGGACACTGTAAGGAGATTTATTAAGAGGCAGCCGAATATGTCAGAGGACAATTCAACAACAATTGAATCTTTTTAAGTGTAAAAAGTGTTTTTAGAATAAATATGGAATAGTAAATAAGGTATGTAAAGAGCATTTTCCTTTATTCTACCATCGATAACATGCGATTTTCGATAATTCGAATATTCGGTATCTCGAATTTTTTCTGCTCTCCCTTCAAGTTCGAGATATCGAGGTTTGACTGTATTTTGGTATCAAGAAATTATGTTAATGGTATTATAAATTGGATATTAATTATGCAGCTTAATTCCTTAATCAGCTAACAATTCATAAAATAATTCAAAAGCACTGTGAATATGCTCTGTTAATTTGGAAAAAAATTTTGATAAAATTGGTGCACTGAATAATAATGAAATTTCTGATGAAAAAAAGAAACAACATAATTCTGGTTAATAAAACCGAATTATATCGGAATTAAACTATTCATATAGTAACGGTTTACCGGAAATGCTAGTTTTTA